GCCCCCCCGCTTATCCTTTTCTTTCATCCCCTTACTTACTTGCTTTCTTTGCTAACTGATAGCTGAAGAAGCCAACCCGGTAGTGAGTGAGTGAGTGACAACGCGCCTGGAATGGCATAGGTATACATACATCAACTACATCAACGGATCTCTGCAGACCGGGATTTTCTTGTTCTATTTTCCTAATTTGTCTCTTTGGGTATGCTTGTTAGGTCGCCAGCCCCAATATGCCATACGCTTCCGTGCCTGATAAAGAATATGTGCCGCCCGCGCAATGTCCGTCCGACCCTGGCTGCGGGTGTGAGGCGTTAACGTGTTAGCCAGCGCCACCTAGAACCCTCCTACGTAGGTACCTATATAGAATGAAAGTCACGTACCCGGCCCTACGGTGTAGAGTACATGTGTATTGCATGTGGGAAAGGTGAGGGAACACAATGGCTGCACCTTTTCCCCTATCATGTTTGTCTCGCGTCCTTGCAGATTACACGCGTGTAAGCATCGTCGTGGCATGGTCACCGCTTGTTTCTTGTATGACAAACCCGACACGGGTGGAGGCTGCCTCTGTTGGTGCGGACCAGGATATGCATGTCTTAGACGGGATTTGTGTGTTGGCGGGATCCCGAGGCGCTGGGTCGGTCGGTACTGGGAAATTCCCGGAGCGGCTTGTGAGAACGGCACAGGCTTATTTTCCCGAATGAAAGGTGGCCTGCGAGATCTAGCATGTTTCTTTCTTGCTACTTTTGATCTTCTGTTGACTTGTCTCATGATGGCTCGCTCTACGTCAATTTTTAACTGTACTTGGTGTTTTCACCATTCGACTTCCTGGTTCGAGCAATAGTGAAGTATAGCTCATGGCAGTATGAGACATTGTTCTCGTGTGACAGATCTTGGCCGGATCATTTCAGCTAGAAAGGTTACTCGGCATGTCTACACTGCATGCTTCAAACTCCTATTTTAGAAATACCGGTTCTTCACCGCTCATCCGTCTCGGAGTCCCCAAGCGATGCGTGCCTCTACGCCGCAGCCAACGAGAATTCCTACCTGTCTCTGATGATTTCAGTTTTCTTACCTTGAGCCTGGTCAATGGATCTATTGTGGGCTGTTATATTGTCTCAGAGAGAACAGACGCTTGTCTTGGTTGGGCGACGTGACTCATTTTCCCGAGTCGTTGAAAAAGTTTGTCTTCAAATGCCTTCATCCGGAGCATGGTACGTTAATCTTATACACTCGCTAAATGTGAGGGCGCATGTACGAACACTTGATTGATGATATCAGTCATTCTGTTTATTACTCGGATGCTCCGTTTGCGATAGGGATTAGATATTATTATGAAAGTCGTACGGCATGCCTATGAGCTAGCTTTTGAGCTGCGCCTGGAAATTTCATTCTATAGTATGTATGTACTATGACAATTACAAATACCTAAAAGGTCAGACATAGGAATAAATCAACTTAAATTTATATGGCCAATTGTTGCTCAGATTTGGTTGAGGGCCAAGTAGATTGGAAAGTACATCTTCAGCTCACATCTCTCATCGAATGTAACTCACTATTCTCATCTATACCAAAAGACACATTGTGAAACAGACCGATTAAATACAAATTCACTCCTTCATTACTTAATACCGCCACTTTCTAAGCGCTTTCGAAATTCAACAAGTAGCTCTGTTTCAATGCTTTCTTACTGTATCACAGAGACCTATCGTACTTATATTAGGTAATAATCTCACGATGCTAAATTTCTTTGAAATTCAGATCCCAACAGTACACACATATCTTACTTGCCTCTAGTTACAATACATTCACGGAATTAAACCTCTCTCTGTTGCACTAGTATGCTGAGACAGACATTTAGCCAGGGCTATACCCATTAGCAACGTCATACCTTACTTATCACGATTCTATAAGGTAGTCATTAGAATGAAAATTAACTAGGGAACTCGTATTAAGGAATCCGTCCATAGCTACGGCTTAACGAATTTTAGGATTACATCGTTTCAAGGAACTACCAACGAAAATGATCACCGTAAAGAAAGATAATATAATTATATTCATATCCTAGCACATATAGTTGTATCTCGTTGCTGATCTATCGTCATCACAGGAGGGAAGTTGTCGTTATGCCCATATATCTACATAACTAGATTCTACAAACTGCCGTAGCCCCTGGCCTATTCCATACATCGGAAATCAGGAGCCGTCGTTTCAAGCGGATGTTCAAACACATTTGGCGTAGCGAAAGAGCGAAGATTACACCCATAACTCTCATATATGTCGGAGATAACACCTACCTGTGAAGTCCCCTTTTAGATCGTGAGCGGAACGAAACAATGAACAGCGAATTTACACTCGTTCTCCTTCATTGCAGAACAGATGAGCACGTTAGCGAATCTTAGCACATATCTGACGTCCGTAGACCTTCCTAACCTCATAACTCCCACGAAAGCATTCTAGGTTCCTAAGTACTACCCGATATTTCGAAATAACCTCGATCGCCGCTGCACATATCTCACACTACACACGCATAGCCTCTACACCTCTATTTCTACAGAAGACATCACGAATATCTTCTTGAACCAGTTACATCGTCCTAAGCAGGAAGCCCTTGAGGAAAAGCATGAAACGTAGAAGTGAATGATTGTCAAGATGAAGACTGGAGAGGTTCTTTATTGTGCGATACTCGATTCCTACTCTGGTAATTATGTATACTTGATGAATACAGAAATACGAACTAGGAGGGTACAATGCGTCTTATAGTAGACGTACGTGGAGAGAGAGAGAGAGAGAGAGAGAGAGAGAGAGAGAGAGAGAGAGAGAGAGAGAGTGTGTGTGTGTGTATGCATGTATGTACTCAATGTATTCATCACCAGGTGTCCAGCAAGCCATGTCCTCTCCCAAATTAGCTACTTTCTAACAAACCTCACTTTCCCAGCCCGGAGATACGCAGGAAGACTTGCAAGTTATCGCGACTAATGTCCTGATAACGTTACACGTTCAAACACTTCATAACGTATCTCCGGGAGCAGCATTTGGGGTCTAGGGGGGGAAATACTGTAGGAAAACTCTCATTGGCTCAGAACTCACCTAACAATCATAAAGAAGTGAATGACTACAGACAGAACACGGAGAATATGGAGGTTAATCTATCGATTACTTTTAAGGCGATGCCTGCTCTGTCTAAAAAGATATTATTCTAATATTAATATAGACATAAAACATGTTTAGTTATTCCTTTCTAGATGAAGTTTATTTCCTCTTCTTCGCAGCACCGGTGTTGCTTCCACTGGCTTTAGCTTCGCCCCCAACCGTCTCAGGCACCACAGGATCGGCCTTAGGCAGCGACTTGGGCTCCGCCTTGAGCTCTCTCGGCGGCTCATCTTCACCGCCCTGGCCGAATTCGTTGACACGGGTGTAGTCAACCTTGTATGCCCAGCGCTGGTACAAGTAGATGAAGAAGATGACATCGTCGCGGAGCGTAGCGAGACGATGAAGGAATGGCATCTTGATGGTGAAGGCGAACAAGTCGTCGATGAAGGTATTGAGGAACTTGTACATCATGGCTTTGCCCGGCATGTGAGCGACGCTCTTGAGACGGTAGTTGATGTAGAGTGAAGGCACCATCATAAGGAAACCATAAGCATAGACGGAACCGACAAGAGTGGTGATGATGTACGAGTACCAAGATTTGTGAGACTCGTAGTAGAGCGAGTAGATCGCGTAACCTATCAACAGGGGCACGCCAGCAATGTACATATACTTGAAGGCAATCTCGTCGTACTCTTTGGTCTTCTCTTCGGTCTCGCTGAGCTTGTACTTGTCCTCGAATGTAATGCGATACGGAATGAACGAGCCCGGCGGCGCAGGGCGCATTCTCACGTTGACTACAGTTGTGATTTTCCAGAACTCGATGACGATACCAATGCCTTGGGTGCCCAGAATCATCCAACTTGTGTTCTGAGAATTGTCGACGAGGTAAAGGAAGATGACACTTTGCATGAAGACGTTTGCAAGGATTGATCGCACTGAGATGCCGACATTGTCCTTCTTCTTACGATAATGCGCGATGTCGGAACCAAAGGCGAGCGTCTCAAGGATCAAGTGAGCAATACTGACCACAATAGTAACACCCAAGAGCCAGGGGTTGGTATCTAGGAAAATTTCTTTGATAAGTTCAACTTCGCTGCCATCGCTACCTCCTGGTAGAGAGCCACCGAAAGCAGCTTGTCGAGCCTGGTGCTTGGTATTCAGGTCCATGGTGGCCATGAGGTTGAATTGCCAATTCTTCAAGTTACCAAGGTCAAGGCGCATGGGGAGCGTCTTGACTGTGTCGTTCAGAAGGATCATGTGGGTCTTCATCTGCCAGAATTGGTTGACGAACAAAATCGGGTCTGGTGATTGTTAGATTCTCGGACGATTTATAAATACACAGTTCTCCAATTACTTACAGTACCATGAATTCTGTCCAGAGCCGTCACGAGCGCCAGTTGACTGTATTCAAATTAGCGTGATGAATTTAATTTTAGCCTACGGGACTTTCAACTTACCTCGAGCACAAGGAACTGTTGAACCGCCGGTGGTTGTTGGGCGAAGTTCAAAACTCCAGTGTCAGGTATAAAAGATAGACTGGTATTTGGGTGATAATAGTTGGCAACGATGGGTCCAGTTTCCTCTTCTTCCGGCTCCTCGAGAACATCAGGTTGATCTTCTAGCAAGTTTCGTGTTTTTGCTATCTTCTTCTTGGGAAGATATTGTGTAAGAGGGTAGGTGAAGTGGACAGCGGTGGCCGGATCAAAGCCAGGTTCCTTGGGATCCAGAATGGAACCTGTGAGTCCAAAATAGAAGTGACCCCAAAGTGTTCCATTATTCTGTACCGAGGTGGGCACGTCAAAAAGAGTCTCAGCAGATCGCTTGTCGCTCGAATTCCCAATCTTGAAGTTCGTCTCTTTCAGAGCCACCATTTCTTCGGGCACGCTCGCAATCTTAGTAGGTACGAAGCTCGAAGACAAGGTCACAACAATATCAACAGCACTGTCGCTTGGCCAGATAGGGGCCACACGCTGTGGGATGCGGCTGTAAGTAGCACCCGGGTCCAATGTGGCGGGCCGAAGCTGATATGCAGGGATGTCGCCGGTGTTGGCGGGTATTTGCACAATATTTCCGTCGGAGTCTTTTGCTGTGGTGATCTTCGGCTGGTTGCCGCCGCCGATGAACTGTTTCATAAGCATTTGAATACCGAACCAGATCAGGACACCTTGTAGAATCTTGGAGAACAGGGACGCCTGCTGACGGTAAGAAACACGAACACTGTTAGCTTGCAAGGAACTACGGAGGCGACAAAAGGGTGAAGTTGACTACGAAAACATACGCCTTGTTCTCCTGCGGCGCCATTGGCGGCTGGAGCTGTGTCTGTGGCCGGCATGGTAGCAACACGGCGTTATCCTCTTGCACCTCTGTGGCCAGTCACGCAATTGATGGTCGCAAGAAGTCGCAATAGTCGGAAATAGAGAACGAATAGAGGCAATTCGAAGCGGGCTTCGAGCTGGAGATGGCCCGAACAACGAGTTGGAGAGCGGCTCGTCGTGGAGATACTGACAAAGGAACAAATACTTGTCCTCTCGGGTTCTCTGTCGGCTCGAGAAAATAGTAGTAATAAATTGCAGTCCGCGACAGGAGACGTGGACATAGCGATAAGGCCGGCTAGCTCGATGTGATACCTAGACATGTGTAGGAAGTACCGTGGGTAGGCGAGGTAGGTACTCCGCAGGGACTTCAGCTGACAGGGCTCCGGGATTCGCTGCAAATTGGACGAATTAGAGCCTCACAATCGAGGCATTACAGCGTCTCAGGCCACCATTGGCCACCATTGGCCGCCATTTGAGGGTACCTAAAAGCAACCCAAAGCCCCCTAAACCCCCCTAGAGTCCCCTAGAGTCCCCTAGAGCCTCGAAAGCTGGAACCCCCCACCCACTGTCCCCCCATTCTGGTCAACTAAAGCTCTTAAGCCCCTCAATGCCCCTCCCTCAGTTAGGTAATTCCCGTCTGTCTTCTCTTGGCCCCCATCGAGCATCGAGACCCGAGTTCATCTCTTCCATCTTCCATGTCCTCGACAAAGTATGATGACTTGCTGACGTTGGACACTGGCAACAGCGTCAGCCCAATTCCCCTCCCCTCCCCTCCCCCCGTAGACTGATTAGACTGATAGCCAGCTATGCCCAATACCACTTTGGGATACAAGGAGGGATCCAAGAATGGGCCCAAGAATGGACCCAAGAATGCGACAATTTCGCAAACCATATGCGCGCAATTCGTTCTCGCAACTCCCATTCAGACCCATTCAGACCCATCCAAGTACCGCAGAGCCGGTGGACCATGGATCAGATCCGTGTGGACGAATCCGAGCTGATAATGTTTGTCTCATAATGAGCGACGTCATGCACCCATGTACTATGTATTGAGTCCCGCCTGACCTCCTCCGGTACCTGAAGCTAATCACCGAATAGGTACTGACTGTACTTACTTACCGTTTATTTACCTTTAGGTAGCTAATTAAATGCAAGAGATTATTTGTGACTCAGTTCCATCGACGGCTGACTTCATATATCCCCTGCGCCTCGTCAATTCTGCTCTGTTTCTCCGTTTTGTTTCGTTTCGTTTTGTTTTGTTTATTCGTGTCACTGCTGCTCCCAATATTCTGTGATCCTGGCATATATTGTTTCTTGTCCGTGTCACTTGCACCACTGCTATCCATCCCTGATCTGATCTCTGATCTGTTTGCCTCCATTGTGTTCAATATTGACCTCTCAGAGTCTCAGACACCACTGTCCTTTCGATTCAGCTTCCGAGCAAGCACCCAATTGTACCAATCGCCTTCTCAACAATAAAAAACCCCCTTCGGTGTTACCCATCTTTCCTATCTTATTTATTATTCTCTAATACAGGCGGCGGTCGATTTCTGAAAACTACCAAACTATGGCATCTGGCGGTGCATCTCCTATGCCTTCCTCTAACACAACACCCCGAACCTCGACGCCCTCCATGTTGAATCCAAACGCCAACCCGCCGCAGACTAAAATCTGCGTCTACTGTGGTGCCTCGGCCGGAAAAGGCCCTCGTCACATCGAGGCTGCACGAGCCCTGGGTAAAGCTATGGCCGACAACAACATTGGTCTAGGTAAAAAACCACTCGTAATCTATTGTCTTGTGTTTGATGGCTGGCTAACCTCTACAATCTCCGTCTAGTCTACGGTGGCGGCACAGTAGGACTCATGGGCGAAGTGGCCAAGACCATTGTCTCGATAAATGGCCCTAGTGCTGTCCACGGCATCATCCCGGAAGCCCTTGTGAAGTGGGAGCGTGACGACACCTACGCGACGAAGAAAGATGCCAACGGCTACCACGTTCCCGAGGAGAGCGTATACGGGCGTACAACAGTGGTCAAGGACATGCACACACGCAAGCGTATGATGGCGCAGGAAGTACTCGAAGGTGGCCATGGCTCCGGCTTCATTGCTCTAAGCGGTGGATTTGGAACCATGGAAGAACTGCTCGAGACTGCGACCTGGAACCAACTCGGTATTCACAGCAGGGGTGTGTGTGTGCTCAACATTGATGGGTTCTATGATGGCCTGTTGGATTGGATCCGCAAAGCCGTCGAAGAACAATTCTTGAAACCCGGCAATGCTGGAATTATAGTCACTGCTACAGACGCTCAAGGAGCGATAGAGGCGTTACGGGACTACAAAGTCTCGGAGGCAAGGTATGGCCTAGATTGGAGTCAGCAATAAAACACTTGTATTTGTATAGATTAGATGCTACAGTAGGAGAAATGATGGGGCCATATTGAGTTTACAAAATGGCCATGACACTGGAAACTTGTTTACCAACACACGGCGAGGGTTGGTAATTTGTCACATTGCCCTGCTGATGCTGTCCGACACTCACTTATCTCCCCATGTTGCGGTCTAAGCTGTCAATTGCTTCTATCATGTCCTAATCATCCTCTCTCTTGTCATTCTTTCGGCAGGGAGTCATTCTCCTGGCGGGAATACGTCCCAACTTGGTTCTATGCACATTTTGAGTCCCGATTCCGGAGAAATTGGCCGGCAGTCAAACTTAATTCGCTGAAGCCGCGATACCGGTCATGCACCCCAAGAAGGGTTTCACTTGTGCGACGAGACAGTTATATGATTTGTAGTGTAAACTGTTGGGCCACGGAGGAGCGCGGTGGAACGTATGTACTACTTAAGCGCGGCATGTGGAGGCCACCTGATCACCTTTGAATTACTTAATGCTAGATACCTCATCTTATTAGTCAGGCGCTTTCATCCATTACTATAGCGCTTTGTTGTTCGATATATCCCTTCTCACAATCACATTGCCTAGATGGGCTATCGGCTATGCAGCAACCCCTCCCCCACGATGAGATCAGCAACTTAAGTGAAGGAACACAGATTGTAATGACTCAGTGGCGCACCCATAACGCTCCTAAATTATCGTAGTGCGCGCAGACTACCGGGGACTCTTGATCCTCCATTTACATACAACTTACCTACTTTATCGGGAGACGCTTGCAAGTGTCCTCGTGTTCCCCTCACTCCCCATGGGGTTATACCTCTCGCATTTCATAGCTGCGGTATGACATAAGGGGGAGGGTCACGAATGGCAACATCGTACATACAAGTCCAAAACAAATGCATATACCTACTTACACAATAGAAACACGGCGGACACGTGGTATCTTGCCATAAAAGGTCCAGTTCTAGCTAGAGATGATGAGACTGGGAGGAGGATTGATGAAGGATGACTAGGTGGGAAGACAAGTATCACTGTACTTACGATAGCATCGGCATATCTCTGGAATGAAACGCAGATTAGTAGAAAAAAAATCGCACAACGATGTCGGGCCTACAACTCTCAGGCCTATCACATATCACAAGGGAGACCAGAAGTGAGCACAGCAAAAGGAGACAACAACAAACAACGGAGAATAGAGCGAATGATATATCGAAACCGTACCACGGCCTTCTAAGTATACCTATACTATCTAGGTATATATATAGCTTCCGCGATTATAATAGGAAATTCTTCATTGGACAGATCACCATAGCGCACTATACTTGGGGTCAGGCTGAAGTATAACCTGTCTTGCGGCTTTTACGATGCCTGCCGACACAACCCGAGTTCTGCCCGAGTCATGAAGCACGCGCGAGAGGGGGGCAAAGCCATTCAACAAAGAAAAGCTCGACTGCCTACAAAGAATGCACGATCGCATAGTAAGCTTACTCTCTCCCTGATCCTCCAGCAATCATAGCTGTTGGTATTATTATCATTATCTTGATGGTACGTGGAGTCGTAGAGTCGTGTAACAACACCGGACAGACTGAGTCTGGACCTATTTGTAGTGTGTATAGGGGCAACTAAGACCCACCATTTCCGGGGTAAACCAATCGGACCCTTCAATTCTGACTTGAGCAGACATGACTCTTTTTTTCTTCTTCTTTTCCTTCTCTTACTTTACATAATCGACGACCTTGTCTCTCCACTAGAGCAGCATTATTGCGTGCTAGCGTTGAGTGTCTTGTCGGGTGCTGTAAGTGGTGCAAAAGTAACACTCCAAAAGAGTTGGTGGTACTCGAGGATTCCCCGGTTGCTGCGTCCTGCAAACCACCGTACTCATCACGTGGCAATGGGTCGCCCGCGCATATTGTTCATTGACGCCTACGATTCTTTCAGTAACAACATCGTCTCATTGCTTACCACGGTCTTGGGCGCCGATGTAGATGTCCTGCATATTGACCCCCCGCACCTGAGCCCTGAGAAGGCTGGCTTCAAGCAGTTGCTGAGCAAGCAGATAAGGCCATATCATGCCGTCGTCTGCGGTCCAGGACCTGGAGCCCCTGATGTGGATAAGGATGTCGGCATCATGAAACATATATGGGCTCTCGAGGGACAAGATCTACCGCCCGTTCTCGGAATATGTCTGGGCTTTCAAAGTCTGGTTGTCAGCTGCGGGGCAGTCGTGAAGAGACTGCAAACTGGCTTGCACGGGATGATTCGGCAGATCGATCACCTAAAAACAAAGGATAATGCAAACATATTCGCCGATGTTCCCACGTTCAAGGCAACATTGTATCACAGCCTGCACGCAGATGTTGGGCAACAGTCCATCTCTGCACCAGAGTGGCAAACTGCAAAATGGGATTCCCCACCCCTTTTCCCAGACGTTGTGCCACTAGCTTGGACGTACGAAGATCGCGGGGATGCGGTCGAGCGCATCCTGATGGGCGTCAGGCATCGGAGCAAACCATTCTGGGGTCTGCAGTACCACCCTGAGTCGATCTGTACAGAGTCGATTGGCCACCAGGTCATCAAGAACTGGTTTCAGGAAGCGATGGCATGGAACCACGCTACCGGCCGAAATCCAAAGTCTGTAATCCCCGAAACGACAATCAGTGAGAGATTGGAGACATCGACTATCGCAAGGAATTCACCAGTCGACAACCGTTCCTCGCGGGTGGGAGACGACGGTATCCTATCTTCATTTGGACTCGGTGCCCAATATCTCTCACATTCTATTGACATTCCGCTGCACATTGAGGTTCCGGACGTGGTTGAAATACTACAAGATGGCAAGAACGAGTTCATAGTACTCGATTCGGCAAGCGCAAAAATCAGGCGGACCGGATTAGATGTGCGCGGGAGATACAGCATTATCGCCCTTGACGTGGACGAAGCAGTGAAACTTGAGTACAGGACCGGGTCAGGACGCGTTATCATACGCGGTGGCTCTCCGGCGTCGTCAACGGGGGGCGACACGATCGAAAAGGTAAACCTCGATCCGAGCCGAACAATATGGCAATTCCTAGCCGACATCTGGTCGAAACGGCAAATCCAAAGCCGTGACACCCCAGACCCCTTTATCGGCGGCTTTATGGGGTACACGACATATGAGCTCGGACTAGAAGGTATCAACGTCGAGTTGCACAAGGAGCGACGCCACAGTCGGCCAGACTTGTGCTTCGCGTGGGTAACCAGGAGCATCGTGATAGACCATTTAGAGGGCGTACTGCGCATTCAAAACCTCTCGTCCTCGGAAGCCGACGGCCAGCAGTGGCTCGAGTCCATCGCTGACAAGCTCGTGTCCTCGCCGACCTGGTCCAATGCGCTGGCGGGCAGCAACTTCGACGGCAAGGCGCACCAAAGCAATCAACTCACGCCACCTCACACCCCCACGTCAGGACACATGGCGCCCGAGATCAGCGTACCCGCCGCGTCGGAGTACGAGTCGAAAGTGCGCTTATGCCAAGAGTACATTGCCGCGGGGGACTCGTACGAGCTGTGTCTGACGGACCAGACGCTGATCACGCAAGCCCGGAGCCGGTTCGAAGGCGCCCTCCTCCCCCGAACGCACGACAACAAAAAACCGTCTTTCTCCTCCTCATCGCCGTCGTCATGGCAGTTATACCGGTCCCTGCGCACGCGCCAGCCGGCGCCCTTCGGGTCGTACATGCGTCTCGGGGGCGCCACGCTCGTGAGTTCGTCGCCAGAGCGCTTCCTGACGTTCGACAGCGGAGGACTCTGCTCGATGCGGCCCATGAAAGGCACGGTGCGGAAATCACCGCTGGTATCCACGCTCGCGGCCGCGGAGAAAGTCCTGCACGTCCCGAAAGAAGAAGCCGAGAATCTCATGATCGTCGACCTCGTCAGACATGATCTGCACAGCGTGTGCGGGCCGGGGAATGTCGACGTGCCGCATTTGTTGAAGGTGGAAGAGTATGCGAGCGTGTTTCAGATGATCAGCGTGGTGGAGGGACGGCTTCCGAGGCCTTCGTCTCACGATAATCATGGTGACGATGGAAAGGAACCTAGACTCACGGGCCTCGATGTCCTGGCAGCTAGTCTGCCCCCCGGGAGCATGACGGGCGCCCCGAAGAAGCGCAGCTGCGAGATCCTCCAGACCCTCGAGGGCCCGCGCGGTAGCGAGCGCAGCTTGTACTCTGGCGTCGTGGGGTACATGGACGTTGCGGGCCGGGGGGACTGGAGCGTGACGATCCGGAGCTTGTTCCGCTGGGATGACGAGATCACTTCAACCACTTCTGCTTCTATTTCTGCTCTCGAGGGAACGGGAGGAAAGGAGTCGGCGATGGAGACGTGGCATATCGGTGCCGGCGGAGCCGTCACGGCGCTGAGCACGCCCGAGGGCGAGACGGATGAGATGTTCACGAAGTTGAAAGGGCCCGTGGGTGTATTTGAGGAAGCTTGAAAGACGTCGGCCCACGATCTTATCCTGGGATCTTTGGTTTCGCGAATGTATTGATGTTTTTTTCCATGTGATGAGTAAGCAGGCAGGCGACCATGTTTTTTTGGTTTCATGGCAGGCAGGCAGGTGGGAATGTGGGTGCATAGGTAGGTAGGTAGGCGGCGGCTTCAACATCATAGGCGCAAGCGGTTTCAACAAGCATAAGACGGATGGACGGGTTCACGGGTTCGGTACCCTGCGGAGTTACTTTCAACTTGGAGGCCATCGTCATTTCAACAGCGCCGGATAGATAGACGGATATACAGAGTTGATTTATCGCGATATATAGCTGGGGAAGACTCATCCTAAACTATCTGAATAAGATACCTTTTTGTGCTATGCTGTACTGTTGTAGCTGTTTCTATTCTCTTGGTACTTCCTTCCTAGTTATTGAGTCTGGTTGTTGGCTACTCGAGACAGACCGACCGATGATCTCATTGCTGATGCTACTTTTCTATCTCATACTGTCTACCTACGCAGGATTTAAAGAGTCTGACAATATAGTTAAGCATGGCTGATAAGATGAAAGCGGTTCATATCAAGAGAGTTTCACACCTCACGCATTTTTTTCGCGCGCAACCTTCCTTGCAGGCTTGTAATGCAAATATCTTCCCCTTTATCTCCGGCGCTCCAACACTTATAGGAGAGCTTGCGATACTAGAAAGGATTGTCAAAAAGAGAGAGAAAAGAAAAATAGAATAGGAATTGAACCCAACCCGATTTGAACGGATGACCCTGTTTGATTGGAATCAGTAATCATGGTATAAGGGAAAGAATAACTCTATGAACTCACTTCTGGATACAGAACCCAATTTTGAATAACTGGAATCAGATGCTCTACCGCTGAGCTATGGGTCCGCGAATTGCACGATAAAATTGGTATACCCTAAATTGCGCTTATAAAGGGTCTATCGCTTAACACTGCCCACATTTACTTACTCTTAGAGGAAGTCGTGAATCCAGTACATTATGATCATGACATACCTTTGTTGTCGGATTCGTGCTACATACTACTGCATGTATTTCCTGTTATGCACTCTCCTCTATACTCTCAGAAATCTTTGAGCGAATAGACTAGTAAGTTTCGCTGTTTCGCCATAATGAATCTTGTTATGGCAATTATGGGGCTACTCGACATTCCAAGATTGTCGATTTTCATTCATGTCCCTTCTCACAACCGTCGTAATAACTCAGAGCCGCACATGGCCACTGTAACCAAACCGAATCGTCTTCAGGCACGAGTCCTTTGACCATGGCAACGAGATGATCCGCCCAACCCTTCATATACCACAGATATTCCATAGTCTTGAGAAGAACTGCAAAGTACGATAATATAATAAGTGCCGTTGAGTCCTTCTGCTGCAAGCGGCTAACGAATGGCCGTCCAAGCCTGTAAAGCCATCCAAAAACGAACTGGCTCTCCGATGGGCCATGGTAGCTTCCGTCTTGATCTGGACCAAACGTAGCTTCATATATAGATATCAGACTGTCGAGTTCGCTTAAACAAGCCGCTGCATCGTCCGATTTTTGGCGTGTCACCATGTCCCGAAGTGCCCCCAGCGCCTTTTCCCAGTCCAGCCTCTTGAGACCCTCTCGGGTGTATCGCGGCGGCGATGACTCGAAGTTTCGCGCATGCATGGGTTCCATCAGCTCTGTGAAGAGCTCGTCTTGGTCGAACTTGGCTCGAATTAATCGCACACCGTGAACCATCGGGACCCACAGCACGCCTTGCTCTACATCTAAATTACACGAGAGAAGATCGCCGGGGCTGGTAGGGCCAGATGCAAAGGTCGAGTAACATACTAATGTGGCGGCGATATAGGCTGCTCCGCAATTGACGCTGTCAATATGAGCTAAAGCACTTGTGAGTTGTGGCAGGCCTAGGGCTACGTGATGCTTGGCTAGAGTTTTGAATCTTTCTCTTTGAGCGAGATGATCTGGAGCAGTCAAGTATGCCTTGTGATAGGCCGACAGCGCGTAGACCATGTCCATGACGAAAGGATGCCCGAGTCCGATCCGAGGAACATTGTATGACCAGAAGCCGAACAGGCGATCTGTCGCCGCATCGTAGCCGTTTATTGATTCCGCTGTGTGCTGCGTGAAATGGAGTAGAAGTTCAGCGTCGTCGAGGTTGATGCCAGAGTTAACGCTGTTGACACGCGTGCTATGAGAGCGCTCTTCAAATGCCAAAGCCTTCTGCTCAGTGTCATCATAGTGCCACTCTCTCCGCGGTCGACCGCGACCCCGAATATCTGAACTAGCAGATACAGAGGTCTCGGACGACGAGGACACAGGACCGGGTGAAAACGTGCAGCGAATCTTGAACTGAACGCACTGCGAGCATTGAGGGCGATGCTCATCACACTGTGGGAGAACGAATCAGCAAACGTTATCCGCACAAGAAGCACATCAAACGGGACAGCGGCGACGAACTTTCACCTTGCGCCGTTTGCAATTGCTGCAGCCATTCCGAGACTTTCGATGGGGTCTTTTAGTCGCCGTCTTCTCATCTTTTCGGTCCTGCATGAGCCCTTCTACTCTCATACGTCCACAGAGTCAGGCTAACAGCACAGCCGCGAGAAACACCGACTGAAAGGGCCATTTGAGGATTTTTATTTTTCGCACACAGATCCGAAAATTATGAGCATAGTGAGATGCGCAGACGTAATGTGACGAATGCCCTGAATCGTCAGGCAACAGAATTGTCTCTCTAGCGGCTTCTCCCCTTTTACCAACCGACTAGATCTGGGTACTAAGGTGAAAAATGATTGGTTGTCGTTTTTTTCGCTTTCTATGCGAAAAATCTACTCGTGCCATGATAGCTTCAGAACCTGGTTCCGCCGTGATAGTGACTGCTGGCGTAGAATGAAATAACAGTGCTCATCTGCACTGCACACGAGCCATGGCGCGTGGCGTTGATTTCAAGGTTTATTCGCCCTCGATGTATTTAAGCCCTCGTTTTCGACTCCTGTCTATATGGCCGGGTCTAAAGAAAACGCGACATCGCTGTTGTCCACCCGAGTTACACTTTCGCTAGACTCACGATAGTACCTGAGCGCCACGACATCTCGATACAGCACTTCCACTGATGATGGATGGCGACCAAGGGCCGTTCGGTCCCGTTGTTAATGGGACCATGGTCGTAGTCTTCTATCAATACCGGCCGAGCGAGATAGCTGGTTATGCGTTCCTGGGATTATTCGCCATCGCCACCCTCGCGCATATTGTATACCTCTTCATTCTCCGAGCTTGGTGGTTTATACCTTTCATACTCGGTGGAATAGGTAAGTGACAACATCCACTTCTCAATAGCGATACCAATAGTTCGATCTTCAATAGTAATCTCCTTGACCAGCTGAGGTTTTCGGTTACTACGGACGTGCCCTATCTCACGATCAACCTGACGTGGTCGGCCCCTGGATTCTCCAAAACCTGCTCCTTCTCACCGCACCGCCGTTGATTTCCGCCACGATATACATGACACTAGGAAGGTTAGCTACCGCCGTCGATAGTCGTCGCTGTTTGCCCGTGACTCCGAGACTGTTGACGCCACTGTATGTCCTTCTCGATGTCGGCGTCGTGGGGACACAGCTCGCTGGTTCCGTGCTCCCTGCGTCTGGCGAGCCATCCGCTATTGAGTTGAGCAAGAAACTCGTGCTGAGTGGCCTGTTGGCTCAAGCTGTGGCCCTCACTATCTTCATCCTTATTGCGTGGTTTGTCGAGCACCGGATAAAGCAGATATCCAGTCCAACTATAGTCCTCAATGATAATACCCTAGCGCATTGGGGAAATCATTTCAGAGCTATACAAGGCGTGACGCTACTCATCATAGTCCGAAGTATTGTTCGGACAGTCGAATACGTGCAAGGCCCTGATGGATTCGTCATTTCGCACGAAGCTTTCATCTATATTTTTGATGCAGTATTGATGTGGCTGGTCATGGCCATATACACGGTTCTTCACCCCGGGAGGCTTGTGCGAGATACGCGACGGCAGAAAAATATAAAAGGCGCGAAACACTGACTGAAACAAGTGACGATAGCAGAATGTTGTATGACTTTATAATCAGCTTAGTCGATGGAGAAAGCATGCATCTGTGCATGGTATGTTGTAAACATATCACGAGATTGAGACTGGGTCAGCAAGGCCACAGAGGGGAGCGGGAAGCTAAGGTGATATTGTCAGCTTTCCTTTCTATAGGAAAACGCAACGAATATCATTCCTCCTTCTCATTATCTTATTTCCAACCCTCTTGTATGTCCTTTTTCTTTAAACACGGTCCGACGTTTGAACTTATACTTGGTACTCGGTTTTGATGACCTTCTTCCCTTAACCTGAGGACGGCTCTCGCGGGCATCACTTTCTTGGCTCAACGATGGGCACATCGAAGAGCGTTCGGTCGGGAACACAGAGTATCCACCTACCTTCCTTCTGTTCTGTAAATGCGTTATAATCTGTGCTTGGTTTGTTCGAATAAACTCATCCGTCAAGCCCAGATCTGTAATTTCGCTCTTGTATTCCTCTCGCCAGTTAGGGTCGAATCTATCCAACATTCCAAAGTTGGAGGCTTTTTTGGGCTCTTCCCTGGTACTGTGTATGTCCGATTTGGGATTGACTTGGAACTGGGAAGGGTTGATTGACAACTCCTCGTATCTGCTGATGGATTTAGCCTGCCCTTTCTTGGGGCGATCCTCATTAGCTACTACCATCCATGGAGGAAATCCCCTCCGGCCACTTGTAGGTAATTCATTATCTCTTGGATCATTGATCAGAGATTTCTCCCCAGGTCTTTTTGGCGGATACCCTGGTTGGTGGTGTTGAGGTCGTTGTTGAGTTGAGTTAGGACCGAAAGGCGGCGGTGGTGGTGGTGGCGGTTGGTAGTGCCGGGGTCTTTGTTGAGTTGGGATAGGAGCTACCGGCCGTGGCGGTGGTTGTTTTGGTCGATCCATAGGCCACATCTGCATGGTTACCTGCCAGTCCGGCTGTATTACTTTATCCCAGACTTGTGGGAGGATTATTTCTCCATTAGGTCCGATTAGATCGTAGTGCCCAGCTTGCACGTGAGGTCCAATAACGTCGACATGGATGAATGCTTGTTTGATCAATTCTTCCATACCCTATAGCTTAGAAGTTAACTGAACTATGTCGATGAACGTAGATCGGCTTTACTTACTTGCCAAGTTTGGCATATGTGGAAAGGGAAACTGAATTTCCGACCAACGGCATCCTTGAACCGAACGGCAGCTTCGACCACTTTCGCCTTTTCAGCTTCAGCTTCCCTTCTAGCCTCTTTTTCATACAGCGAGGTCACCATCTGTCTCATCATCTCGATGTTTTCTTTGAACTGAGCATCAGCTGCCGCCGCTTCAGCTGCCGCTGCTGCTTCAGCCTGTTCAACTTGGATTTTGGCGCGTATTTCCAGCTCCAGCTCGGCTGGTGACTTTCCTATTCTTTGTGTAGCTTGGTTGAACTTTCGCTCCTTTATCGCTTCATCCTCGGAGTCCCCGTCTAGACTAATTGGTCGTGCTTTCTGGATGGCAGCACCATGATGAAGAGAGGTCAAAACACTCTTTCCCTCAGAGTGGTCTACGCTCTGTTCTGATGCGGGAGGCTTATTGACTCGTAGCGTACTAGTTTCCGCCTCTATCGAATTTCGAGTGTTGTTGACAATCTGTTCGAGCGCTCTTGAGGGTGTGATCACAGAGAATGATAAAGGCGTCATATTGCATTGAGATGTTTCGGTTGGGGCAGGACTTTGAGTAGACCCTCCATTTGCAAAATGATTCGTTGGGGCTTCTAATGAGCTGTCTTGGTATTGTGCGACAGCTGACGGTGTCTTGATGCAACTTATTATCTTATTAGCAAATTAACATTGCGAGCAAGGAGACTTAATCACCTGGAGGCTATTGTAATAAGAGAATCGATCGAGCTTAACCGCTCATGTAGCTGAGTTCTCAACGCGCGTAACTCTTCTTTCCCAAACAATTGCCACCCAATCTTAGACCAACTGCCGCTTAGGACGCCTCCTTCGTCACCTAGGCGGCTCTGCAAATACTTGGTTCGATGGAAAAACTTCTCAATGGTGGCTATCGAGGACAAGGCAATATGAGCCATTGCGTTAATAACGGATGGGGTGAACGCATTGCTTTTCATAAGGTTGCCTGTTTGGATAAAGGCCTGTTCCATAGCTCTAAGCTCCATCACAGCTTCTTGGTACTCGATGCAAGATCCTCGGGACGCTGACAGGGCTTGAACTAGCCGACACGTGAGGCTAGCACCAGCAATAATGTCTCCCACCGAGTAACCAAAAGACATGATGACTTAAGAGCTTACAATTATCGCTCAAAGAAGCCTTTGAATCATTGAAAGCTGGATCTCTCTGAACTTAGCTAATGCGAAACATAGAGAAGTGTTAATTGACACTTCAAGGACTAAGATCACAATAAGAGATAGCCATTTCATTTCCACAGCCACACTCACCGCTCCATTTGTCAGAATAAGTGAGCCGGTGGAAAAAGCCTTGCATGTGATTTCGTAGCCTGCATAATGTGACTCAAATCTGGCCGTTGAGCGTAGGTGATTCTTCTGTGGCTATGTCTCTCAAGGGCTTGGAAAACAGCACAATAAGGCTGCAGTAGGGTAGTAATATATGCGAGAAAGACCAATCAACATCCATTCTATCTATTCCCCACACCTCCCCTTGATATCAAGGCAGATTTCCGCAATGAATGGGTTTGAGCATAATACGCAGGAAGGCAGTTGTGTGTACACGCCATACTATCATACTACTGTACCTGGTGATCGGATGCGCTAAGGCTAGCTACCGTAACTTACACGGACAAATCTGCATCACCCCGCTAGGGCATGTCTAACAGCACTAATAAGGTAGACAGACTATTTTATTATATAAAAATAAAGGCATACCTATTTAATATAACTGCTTACTTTGAAATATATTAGTATATCGGAATTGCTTAATCCTAATAAGAATCCGTGATAAGAAATAACTAGAGGCCTTTACGATAGCGGCTTAGTGTATTTAAAGACCCGACGCTTCTCTTGCCCTAGTCACCACCGCCCATCCTTTTGAACATGCGCAGCCCTTTAGATATGTTCGAATCATTCAATACTTGACTATCCGAATCATGTACAAGGGGAAGATTAAGCAAGGAACATCGGACTGGTTTTTGAACGCTCTTTGGACGGAGGGCTTTCGCAAGGTGTACACCAGCTGCGGTTGTCCAACCTTGCTCTCTTATCGACGAGGCAACAAGCGGCCGGATTACTTGTGAAGAGCAGAGGAACTCAGCGATCTGCAACGCGCTTGTCGATATGTTTGATATACGAAATGCATTACTCCTATTATGCTGAAAGTGTTATTGATCGCCCGAGGCGCGTCGCTTGATGGTCAAGCGGCGACACATCAACCTTAAGCTCGATGGACAAGAACCTGAAAAGAGAAAGGCGCACTAATAAGCACCGACTCTATATATGTCTTGTCTTTGATTGTATAAGCGTCCTAGACCTATTGCTCTTGATGCGGTTCTGCCCCGCCCCGAGAGCTCTTGTCCTGCAGAGCGTGCTTGAGAGCACCCATCTCGTCGTCTACTTCCTCAGGTGAACACCCGAATTTTACCATCTCAAAGTCTACCAAAACTACGTCTTGCCCATCCCGTACAAGAAAGTTGTGCTTGTTGATATCGCCAAACTTGATGTCGAGCTTATGCAGCCGCTCCAGAGCCATCTTGCAGCACTCGATATGCTCCAACCCTGCGGCCCTCGCACCTTGAACCCACTCTGTGATGAACCCCACCACCCGTCCATCATTGCCCTCAGTGACGTGCCCGAGAAACTTGGGGCCGATGCTGCGCCCATCGATTAATTGATACGCGGTCGTCTCAACTTCCATCGAGGCGATCTCCCACGGCCAAACAGCGAGCTTGACAAGTACTGGTTTTCCGTTGTTGAGCTCTGGATGCGTCGAGACATGGACCCGTTGCCTAATTCGACGTTGCTGCGTAAAGTCGAATTCGTTCAGCTTCACCGGGTGCCAGATATTCTTTACGCCGGCAAGTTGAACCATCTCCGTTTTGACGAAGGCAGTTTCTCCTGTTGCGGTATCCTTGGCGACGTGGCCTTTGTTCCAAGAGCCGCTTGGAAACGGTGGGAAAAGCTCCCCAAGCAAGATGGGCTCGAAGGTGCGGTCATCCTCGGCCCCAAGAAACGTCCCCGGGGCTGTGGTGACATATCTGACGCGTTGTCCGTCGGTGAGAAAGCGGTAGTCACTGTCGTCTATGTCGTCCTCGTCAACGAGACACGCGAGAAGTTGGACGTTGACATTCCTTGGTCTGAGCACTGCCATGTCGGCGTGCAAAAGACAGGGTGGACAAAGACAGCGATCGTTTGCAAAAATAGCAATCGTGTCACTTGACGGTACAATTTTGTGAGAGGGGTGAATGAGGAAGTATATGAGACTCAGGAACGAAGGTGTTGGCGCTCTGGAAGAATGACACGGGGACAGGAGATGATAATGCAGTATCGGAGACTCAGACCAGGCTGACCAGCAAGCATTCAGACTGCACCATCTCGACGATAGTTGGGTCTTTTAGATCAGGTCTGCGCCTCGGAGATAACACTAATTTGCAGGCACCGCGCGGCATAGTCATTCTCTTATTGGTTAGCTGTTTCGTTGGCTGCTAGTTGACCTCTGCTGCCTGACGGCGCTTCCATTGAAGGACGACTTCTCACTCACCCACGCCATGAATTAGAATCGCAAGTATATAAGTCTTACCATGGCGGCAGATAATACCCAGACTGAATCTTTGCCACACGACGACACTAAACCACCTGATATCACGCCGCTTTAGGAACACGGATTTCGTTAGCATGTAAGAACACGACAACACAGGCAAATATCGGGCATAGCGCCCACACACCTTTCTACACTTACACCACCAACAATCACTCACTTAGGGGCGCTTAAGCCACGGCAGGGCGCCTAATGAGAAAACACATATCTACAGCCAACAAGGACGAGTATATCTACGTGCCTTTGGGGGGCTAAGTTTGTACATAAAAGGCCAGAAGATTCCGAGTCATGAGCAGGAGAATCATAGCCCTTGGATACAGTTCCAAGCTCTATACACTAGCCCTCGTCACCTTCTTCTGCCTCGTGCTCTGGCGTTTTCTGCAACACACCACGGTAATTTAGACTTATTTGCTTCTGCTCTGGAGATATGTATGTTCTGACCTCCAAGTTGTAACGCAGACCCATTCCTCACGGACGCCGTCGCATTACGCTGCAGGATCACGACACGACAAGACACTCTATCTCAACCACCATGTGCATCCAAACCTACCGCAAGTACACCTGCGGTTGTAGGAAGACAGAGGAATTCAAGTAGTGCTAATGCGTTGAAGTATTATGTCGGGGCTAGCGAAAGAATCTAAACGGGCGCCTGATGTAGATAAAGGGACATATCGAAAGTATTTCTATTTCTTTCTATTGTTGGGTAGAGAACTTGAATTGGCTTGTCATATCGGAGTGGCGTGCGTGAACCTGCCGGGAATTCTCGGCATCTCTTCCACACGCCCATACCTCGCAAAGTGTTCCAGAAGGTCGGCTTTTGTGTACTTGATCCTGAAATGCCTCGTTTTCTCCTTGCAGCCAGAGCAGAAGTAGCCCCAGTCGACACGCCGCCCACTATCAAGAAGATATGGCGCAGTAATGATTGCCATGAATCGCCGAGGTTCCCTGGTAGTTTTGTCCAACGTTGGAAGATCGATCTCTGCTAGACTGTGGACGACTGACCGACGATCGTAGAGTCGAATCCGCTTCCGCGCCAGATTGCCTCCATCACTCCCCCAGGCGGTACAGTACCGCCCGGGTAGGCTTAGGACGCTTGGAGGTTTCGCCGCATGCAAGATTTGGCGGCTAGTGGCAGCCTTGCGCTGCTTCTTCAGATTCGATGTGAAAAAAGCCGATGCTTGTTGAGTTGTAAGTGGGAAGAATTCCGGCTGCCGGGTATAGCAAAAGTAACAGACCCTGCGGCAGTCGACAAGGTAAAGATAATCGCCAAAACGCTTGCATGTTGAACATTTCTTTGTGCTGAGGGTCCTATATAGTGTACCACAGTCAAAGGAGTCTGCCTGGATGCTGACAATGGCACGGATGATGTTGGGGAAATGCTTGACGAGGACATTGTAGTAAGGGAGACTATCGACAAGCTCCATCGCTCGTCGGTTGACGCGACGGAATCTAGTCAGCGAAGGAATGTCGATTTGGTGAAGAATATGGATGAGGAGTTCCGCCGGGAGCTGGTCGAGCTTGCCGGCGGAATATCGCAACGGAACGGACGCGTCAGAGTGTCGACCATTGTCGAGCGGGCATCGTGTCTCCAGCTGTGCATTATCTAATGTGTTGTCGCAGATGGGCTGCTTCGTGTACCAGGCGAATCCAGGCAGGCGACGGAGGTCCTCGTCCATCGTAGCATGCTTACAAATAGGCTTCTTTTGATGCTCTGTAAGATGGTGATTTGTGTTCGGTGGCCGGGCGCGTCACGGGCCACGGCAGACTTGCTGATGAGGTTTACGGGACCCGGACCCCATAGGTGCGCGTCTTATGTAATCGGAAACCTCAAACCTTGGTTCCGTTTTGCTCAATACGATGCGGCGGCAAAACGGAGCCCCGGCTGCTACCATAGGTATCGGGAACAGAACACCTCGTGCTGAGTTCCTAACATTGCTTCAGATCATGTTCAGTCTTGATGGTGTACTCGAATCAGCAGATCATTTAGAAAGAATGCACGTCGCAGTACTTATTAGGTAAGGCATCCATGTATTCTTCTATTAATAACAAAATCTTGATTGGAAGCAGTTATTCAGGATGGGAACCACCAGATTTCCAAGGCACATCATTGCTCTTGGCCAATCACGGTGCTACTGACGGCGAAATACTACTAATGGTTTCCCATCAGGTATGAAAATCGATACGTTACATAAAGCATTGACATTGCACGGACGATGCATTCACCAGACACGAGACAGCGTGCATTCAATTTTTTCAGCTGTAGTTTCGAGATCATTGCTATATGAGGGATCTGACGATATTAAACGCGCAACATAATGACCTGTTCTGCTAGTTGTTTATGTTTCTCTTTCTTCACCCAGTATTGGCTTGCCTAAGTACCTAGGCAGACCATTAGTGACTGTTGGTTTGGTAGGGAAAGTAGATGAACCAGTTAAAGTGATTATTGGGTACCATGGTCGTGATTCGTCCCGAGGCAACGTCACCACGAAATAACTAAAGTGTCTAAGCTTCGGTAGCTCGGGTTATAAGCATCCACAGCTGAGCTGCGCTTTGACGTCTTGGCGTGCTGGATACTGTGATGAGTGCACATGTAATGCATTATACCCTCGTACCCGCGCTCGGTTATCTGTTTAATGTAATAGTATTACCCAATTAGCATGTTACCAATACTAGTGTACGATACGACCTACCGTTAGGGGTTGTTGCGTAGTGTATGAGGGTTATGTTTCAAGCCTTGTTAAGATACATACAACTTAGATAGTTAGTCGGCATGCCTCTTACTGCGGAGTAATTGAAGGCCAATTGCGATGCGAATAGTTTTCATTTGCGTATCTTTGCCCTTCTCTGATTCGTGGGCGATGATTATTGGGTATTATTGTAGCGCTAAATGATAATGCCGGAGGGCAGGCATATGCTTTGAATCATAAGATGTTTTGATGATGTAAGTGAGATAAGTCATTTGACCATTAATCACAAGGAAATAGAAGAAAAAGCATTATCCTAAGCCATAACAAAACATATAAGATGGTCTAGCGTTGGGATCGTCGAGGTTCAGGGTACTGGAAATGCATTTGTACGCATAATAACGTGTTGCTGATCATGACGTCCTATTACAATGAAGAGAATAAAATATGATATGGAAGTAACTAATCAGTATGCTAGTTTGTATTCTACGATTCTACGTTATAGAGATACGTGAGGGATGATAAGATCAAGGCTCAGCGAGCACCCTCACAACACAGATTCAATCCTGAGCTTTTTACAGAATGGCATTAATCTCGTTCAAGTCACCCTTTCTGAACACACTGATCATTTCCGTAATAGGTACATTGTTGGTCTCTATTAGCAACCCCTGATATTATCCAATCTACTGTAGCCATATCACAACCTACTGAGCTGAGTGGGCTAACGTAAAGTGCATACTTTACCCTGCTAGTGCTGTTACAGTTCGCGTTTATCCCGACGTACCAAACTTTGCCTGGAGCACGGACGGTGAATCCGGACAGGGTATGTGTCTTGCTAAGGGACCTTAACCCCGATGTGTCGACATATCACTTAAGTAGAATTACGCTCTAGGACAGGGCCCTGAATCAATAACACGTACCCACTGCCTAGGATCTGTCTGGGGAGAGCATCCGTCAAATATCAACTTACGGAACCCCCATACCTTTTTGCCAGAAAATTATACAACACTACTATACATATTAAACTACATGCATTCTGCCTACGTTGGAATTATCTTAGGCAATCAGTATCGTAAACCGGTGTGTGAGTATAATGCTTCCCATAAGATCCGTTGCTGACTATATTCTAGGTGAAAGGTATCTATCGACTGAACTTAACGAATATTTTAATGCCCACTTCCACATCCCTTAACGAACAGTGTTGATAATATTTCATGGAAACCAATGAGTCCTCATCTCCTACAGAACCTTTAAACGGACTCTACTTATAGTCTACACGCCATCCGTTTGGTTGCGATGACCGAGCGCGCTTATAACCATGGCGGGCACCGATAGCATGGCTCCGCGCATACAAGGTGTTGTCTGGGTTATCACGGCAATGGCACTAATAACCGCCAACGTGAGGTTTTACATCAAGTGGAAATACCGTGGGAAATTATGGTACGACGACTATATCCTGGTCGCTGCGGTGGTAAGTAAACTTCAACTCACATCTCTGCACGCTCGTCGCTGATGTCATATACAAGATATTCCTCCTAGCAAACGTAGGCCTGTTCCAGAAAACCGTTTCCTTAGGATATGGCAACCACTTTGCAGATATAATTGACGACAACCCGCTGAATATCCGCACTATCGTCATGTACCTGCAAATTCTATCGGCCCTTATACGTCTCTCGACCACATCCGCACGAATTAGCTTTGCAACTACATTGCTTCAGTTGGTGAATTACTACGAGAAACGATTTGTCTGGTTTTCAATAATCACGCTGGCGGCCGTGGCGATGCCGGCAGTCATTTTTCCTTTCGTGTCGTGCATTCCATATGAGAAGATTTTCGATCCTTCTATCCCTGGCACGTGCACAGGTGATGCCGTGAGCCTTGGATATTTCATCTTCGAAGCAGGTTCGTTGGGACTGGACTAGACAAGACGGAAGACATTTGAGCTAATAGCAGTACGATAGCATATACCTCCTTCATCGACTTCGCATTAGTAGTGCTCCCTTGGCGAGTTTTGTCACGGATACAGGTACAGACCCAAAAAACCGCTGTTCCCTTTTCTCAGTCGTTAACTGAGTTCAATAGCTGCGACGTGTTGAGAAACTGGGCGCAAGTCTGGCTATGAGCCTCGGTATCCTGTGAGAATATTTCATGCTGTCTCAAAGGCTGCCTGCTGACCCCGTTAGGTCGGGCGTGGTCACAATAGTGAAGGCTACCTACACCGAGCAGATAAGAGATGATGATTTCACTTGTACGTAGATATTTCAGCTGTTGAGCTTCCAGGATCCTGATGGCGATACTGACCCCTCCCTTGAAGATTCTAGCGCGGATCTCACGATATGGAATGTAGTCGAACCAGCATCCATCATCATGGCCGCGTCCATCCCCAACTTGCGCGTCTTCGTTCTTAAAAACTCGCGGCATCTAAAACCCGGCCTTAAAATAGGATCGAGTAGCGGATTAGACATCAGGGGGCGATCACGAAAAACGGACGAACTCTCTTTGGAGAATGTACACAATGCCAGTACGTATTCCAGGATTTCACCTGTCTAGTCACGCTCTCTCGAATACCACAACCCCTCACAAGGGATTGGTCAAGGCTTTGCTTATCATAACGATAGACACTAACACCTGTGTTTCTCTAGTGGGAATGATATCAGCAGGAACTGATAGAAGACGAGGGGATGGAAGAACATGGGTAACGTCGCGGGATGGTGACAGCGCGAAGAGCAATTATTATGCGAGTAGGGCGCTTCCGAGATTGGCCATCATGCAGACGAGCACATTTGCCGTCGAATATCTAGAAGAGCCCAGCCCGACATTATCGCCTCTCAAAGATAGATAGCTGTCGGCGCTATATTGCACAAATCAAAAACAGTTAAACTAAGTGAAACGTCTCATATGCGGGGAAGCGGAAATGCGGAGGCCGCCTATCCTAACTACTAACAGCCACCAGCAGTAGCGTAGTTTATTTGCTCACTTCCTCGTCTTTGTCACATCCTAAAGGTCTTCTACTCACTTCTCATCCTCCGTATCTATTCGTAAAATTCATCTTGTGAGGTCTGTAATCGACTCATCTCACCTGCGGCTGTATGAAATTTGCAAAATGAGACTACCGATGAAATTGCCCAGAGTATGCCTACCATTGCCCATACGTACTCTTCAGTAAGCCCATGTCAATCCCCGTTTCCTCCTCACTTTGATATGAACTATCCATCTAATTTGTATCTGTTTCCGTATAGCCGGCCCTTAAGAAGATACTCAGTACCAGCATCAACATCCCAAGCTTCCAAGGACCTATGGTCGTCAGTACGGCGAGTGCGTAATGGTCTCGTCTTCACATCTATAAATGAGAAGACTGTGTGAGTAGAGACGATTGAAAATCGCTCAATTGATACACTACAAGGAGGCGTTGCTAACGATTACTAGTCCTTATATCTGGCTCCGGTATGTCCCATCTAGCTTAGCCCTTGCAGTGTAATTAGTATCACTCATACTCTCAAGGGATAACTGCCGCTGTAGTAGCTGCGTTCACCAAGCCACTAGGCAACGTAATTTCGACATCTTCGAGGTGAGCTATGTACCATTTCTATGATCCAGTAGCGAACTCTACGCTAAGTTGACCAGTTACCTGAAGACATCAAACCGTCCAAAGTGACGGCCAACGAAGCTGGCCTTGAGATTCAGTGTAGGTTACGGGGTACATCTCTTGTTATGGTAGCCGTGCTAACGCAACACAGGGTCTCACGAATCACACACAAGCTTTTACTCCTGGGATTTTCTAGAGATATATATCAAAGGAGAGCGGCCGGCGCCTGAAGATGTCCCGTGAGTAGCTACCTCCGTACTACTCTTCCACCCTCGCCAGGACCCTGACCAACCATATTCACTAGCCCTGAGTATTTCGGGGCTGGAGGGCCGTCCGAATCCAATATAGAGTACGGAGAATTCCTAAAAGATAAGACACGAGCCGTTGGACGGGTGACAGATATGATTGTATGTACAGCATATTGATCACGTCTCGGCTTCCAACTACTTTGCTCACTGCCAATGTAGAAACGGAAAGGACTTGCGTTTGTGACGGGGGTGCCGACCGAATCGGCTGACATGACCAAGAAGCTGCTCGAGATGATTGCGTTCATCCGCGTAACGCACTACGGCGGCTTCTACGAGTTTGAACCAGGTCTAGAGCATGCCGATACTGCTTATACCAACGAAGCACTACCTTTACAGTAAGTCCTATGGGTTTTCTGTTCCTCTTTCTTCATAGATTTACCACCCCTTTATTTGTGTTACCTACAATCTCTCACCTAGACTCTTACTACGTGGGACGGTTGTCTAATCTCCATTTCCGATAGCACGGATACTACTTACTTTTCTGACCCCTGTGGGCTTCAATCTTTTCACCTTCTCTCGCATACGGACACAAGCTCCCAAGGAAGCTCAGGAGTAAACCTGGGCGGACAGTCCCTGCTTCTTGACGGTTTCCACGCTGCTCAGATTCTTCGAAAAGAGAACCCAGAGGCGTTCAAAGTCCTAGCTAGTTTCGGGCTCCCCTTCCATGCGAGCGGCGACGAGGGAATCGCTATAACTCCGGACAAGCTGTATCCGGTGCTAGAATGCGACTCGCACCATAACATGGTGCGTCGTATCAGGTGGAATAAAGGCGACCGAGCGGTGAACCCGCTTAGGGATGGCACGGCGGAATGGTATAAGGCAGCGGCGAAATGGAATGAGATATTGAACCGGGAGGAGCTCGTCTATCGGTTCCAGCTCGAGCCTGGTAAAGTCCTGAGTGAGTGCGCACATCGGAACTTGGTATTATCTCAATGCTCATATACTTTATATGTAGTTTTCAACAATTGGCGAGTTCTGCATGGCAGAGAAGCTTTTATAGGCCAGAGAAGAATGTGTGGTGGTTATAGTAAGTGTTTTCGCCTGTCTTATTGTGTGCGTGGTCACCTAGCTAATCAGGTTTACTCACCTAGTCAATTACGACGATTGGATTTCAGCATGGAGGAATACAAATCTTACTAAGAGGGAAGTTTCTAGGCAAGTCATAGGGGAATGAGCTGTTACAGCTATGAAGTTCGGTTTCTTTAGTTATTGGCGTCCCGGGTGAGCAGTTAAAGCCCCTATCTCATGCTGTATATGTGAGTGCTTGAGGGGGTAGACTTGATGAGAATGGTGCCAAGCATCTGATTTACACGAGGACTGAAGATAATACTATGAAAGTCTCGTTGGACTCTCATCGCCTGTCGTTAATCACTTAGAGTAAGATTAAACTATCACAACTTTGAACTACTCTGGAGAAATTTTAGATTGGGCCGCATGTCACAGAATGAATACCTCCACATGCCCAGCGCGCAAGCAAACGGGATAGGTGTGTCTATGTGTCTACGGATGAATGTTCGCCGAGACATCGCTTCTTCCCCTCGCGTTCGTCTCTCAACCCCTCCAATCGGCGATTTCCGCCCTCTACTAAGTCACACTTGGGTAGGCAAGATACACATGAAGCGCGAACGATCGGTATTTTGGCCTGTATCAATATCAGCCAATTAAGATACCTATACGTTTTAAAGCAATATCACACCTTGAATCTACATTACTGATAGACCTGACTAATACTGTTACGGTCTATGTAGCTACTTACCTAAGTTATGAGTGTCGTATATACACCTTGCATTCGAAGACTGTCGAGTGCAGTAGGAAGGCGTCAGTATCGACCTTTTCCTCACGCGCTCGCCGCCATCTTATTACCTCAGCTAAGTAAGTCTGCATGTCGCTACCGGCGTATGTCTCATCTGAACCTGACAACCCCGGACAGGCCCTCTGCACATAAACGTCATTCCTTCCGGCTCGTTGCATTGCAGATTCCGCAATCGTAGCAATTCGTATAGGTATTGATTGGTCTTTCTGCTTTTCTCCCCTTCAACGAAGAAGGTGCGTGGACGGACAGACGTAGGCTTACCAGAACCCTATATGAACAAAGTTTGATCGAGAAATGCTATAATATCCGTCTAGGGCTCTACATGCTTCTTTAGTTCTCTTTACCAACGACACACTTTTCTATTTTTCAATTCGCTTCTATTTCTCATAGACTTCTAATCATACAGAGTACAAGTACTCATAGAGCATTCACGATGGCGGCGGACATGAACACCGGGAAATTCCCCCACAGCAACATGCCGGCTCCCAAGGGAGACCTTGTGATGCCCCTCTTCTCGCTCAAGGGCCGGACGGCGATCGTCTCCGGAGCTGGAGCGGGCATCGGTCTAGCGATAGCTCAGGCGCTCGCCGAAGCGGGTGCGAACATTGCGATCTGGTATAATTCGAACAAGAAGGCGTTGGACGAGGCGGCCGCTATCGAGGAGCGGTACGGCGTGAAATGTGAGCAACATTTGACTTTCCACCATCCTCTTAAACAGCCACTCAAACCATGTACACCACACGTCTTACCCCCATCCGTAACTTTTTCTTTACCTACTCTACTCTACTCTACTCTACTCTACTAAAGCAAACGCACGCAGGCAAGGCATACCAAGTCAACATCAACGCCTACGAATCCGTGAAGGCATCCGTAGACGAGATCGTGAGCGACTTCAACGGCCGACTGGACGTGTTCGTGGCGAACTCGGGCATCGCGTGGGAGGAGGGGCCGTTCGTCGACGGCTCGCTGGAGACGATGCATAACGTGCTCAAGGTTAATATCGAGGGCACCTGTTACTGCGCCAAGGCAGCAGCGTTGCACTGGCGGCGACAGGCGGCGGAGCGCACGACGCTCGACGGCGGCCCGTTGGAGAACTATCTCTCTGGCAGCTTCATCTGCACCGCGAGCATGAGCGGCCATATCGCGAATGTGCCCAATGCGCAGGCCGTGTACAATGCTTCCAAGGCTGCGGTTATCCACGTCTGTACGTATCTTACCCTCTTCCGTGAATGATATGTGCTGATTGAGGTTGTGCTAGGCAAGTCCTTCGCTGTCGAGTGGACGGGGTTCGCGCGCGCCAACTCTGTGAGCCCTGGTTACATCGAGACCGAGATGACTGGATTCATGTCCGAGGAGACGAAGAAGGTCAACAGAGACAGGATCCCGATGGGGTGAGTTCAGACCAAATACGTTCTTTCGTGATGTTCAAGTATTCGTATTTTCTGACATGATTATCTAGTCGAGAGGGAAACGCTGTGGAGCTCAAGGGTGCATACTTATTCCTGGCGTCGGATGCGTCTTCTTATGCCACCGGTATCGACATTCTCATCGATGGAGGATATTGTGCGGCATAGGGCAATTCCTTAGGTATCAAGATCTAGATCTAGAAACATGCTTTTGCACCGTTATTCGCCTCCCTCTGTTAGTACAACGAGTCCTACCTGGTTACATCGCAGCCCCAGGCAGCAGGAGCTTCAGTCTCTGGGAAGTCCAGCCTTGTGCCTATTAATTTGATCAGGGTCATCTACTACGTCGTAAAAGCAAGGTCAAGATGTCTTGTCTTGTCTTTACCAAGCTGGGCTAGGGGGGGCTTTCTACCCCTCAGTGAGCTAGGTACCACAGATGATACCTTAGATAATATGACGTGTATTACGAATCTCTTACATCCCTATGAGAGATACTTGGGATAAGATCACTACATGGAAGATTCTTTTACGATCGCCCCAAGCACCTGGCAATTCCGAGACAACTAGAACCTTTGAGCGTGAGAAGAAGTCATTGCAAGTAAATAAAATGTATTGTGATAATCAGCCTTGAAATTGCCCGATCTGGACTTTGCTTTAGCCTTAGATCAGCGCTAGATACACGCTAGATACACACTAATAGCTATGGGGGCATTTACCGAGCTGGGACAGGAGTACAGTGTACCACCCGATCGAAGCTATTTTCATCGCATGTCCCTCTGATTCATAACCCCGCGTTAGGTATTCTATACTTTATATGAACTCACTCTTTGCCCGCTTTGTAGCCCTAGGTATCCAACCTATTCAATCTGCTCTAACAGCCCCTATGTCGATACCCACAGCCTGATGCAGTACCTGAATTTCCCCAGCCTGCTTGAACCTCTCTGTAAGTAAAGATGCCTAAGTAAGACCTAAGTTACAGGTTATGTCAAGCTGAAAGGTGCGGCCGCAGATTGCAGATTGCAGATTGGAGTCCTCCCCTCGCTCCCCCTCGCTCCCCCTCCCGCTTCTACCTAGCCTACCTGCCTTCCCTCTTCCGCCACCAGACCGACAGCCTACCTACCGCCTAACTGTCTACCTACTGTCTGCTGTCTGCTGTCTACTGCCTTATTGCCTACCTACCTCATTGCCTATTGCCTACCCCTACAGTACTTACTTCCCACCTTACCTAACATAATACTGGTGGTATCTTCTTGTTCCGCCCTTTTTCTGGAATAGAACCCACGTGGGCATAGTTAATCTAAAACATTGCATTCATTCATTTAGGTCCTCTTCCAGAATCATCGCCTTCGTCTTCAGCAACAGCACGTAACCAGCAGCCTTAAGGTTACCTATCGCGCGAGCGACAGAAACTTAGTCCCCCGTCCACCCACGGCGCTGCCCGCAATCGCCCACCGCCCAACATGGACGCCGGAGACGACCAAGTTCCCGTCACCCACGACGACGAGCACCACCAGCAGCAACAACAGCAGCAGCAGCAGCAGCAGCAGTTCCATAACCAACCCCAGCGCAATGCCCAGGTCGACAATGCGATTCGCGCAATCCGCCAGAAGAAGCCGCTGCCCGAGATCGACTTCACCATCCATACCATGGAGGATGGCTCTGACGTTAACACCACTGAGCGAGTCTGCAAAGGTACCCTATCCCTACTCGTCTCTACCTAGATATCTACTCTCATCTCAGCTCCGTTCAATCGTCCACCCGCCCGCCCTGTCTACCCCGCCGTCACAGCTCCCGCTCTCTCTCTCTGTTCTGTGTATCGAGTAGTGTTCACCACGAAGCTGCGAATGATTGAATTGAAATTGACTATGGCCCGTGTTAATCTGACTATTGTTCCTTTCCAGATGTCCAAGCCCCTGCCATGTTCAAGCCTACCGACGAACAGTTCTTCGAGGACGACACTCATGCCAAACCAAATATTACCTTCCTGAAGCAGCACTTCTACCGCGAGGGCCGACTGACCGACGAACAAGCTTTGTGGATCATTAAAACGGGCACTGAGCTTCTGCGGAAAGAACCCAATCTCCTCGAGATGGATGCTCCTATCACAGTATGTGGTGATGTACACGGCCAATACTACGATCTCATGAAGCTCTTTGAAGTTGGTGGCGACCCCGCCGAAACAAGATATCTGTTCTTGGGTGACTACGTCGACCGAGGCTACTTCAGTATCGAATGTGTCCTATATCTATGGTCTCTAAAGATACACTATCCCACAACACTCTGGCTGTTGCGTGGAAACCACGAATGTCGCCACTTGACCGATTACTTCACATTCAAGCTCGAATGCAAGCACAAGTATTCTGAGGCCATCTACGAGGCCTGCATGGAGTCCTTCTGCAGCCTCCCCCTTGCTGCTGTTATGAACAAACAGTTCTTGTGCATTCATGGAGGACTTAGCCCGGAATTACATACTCTCGACGACTTGCGCAACGTCAGTCGCCCCCTTAATACAGCCCAGCTCTAGTTGAGTGTCGATGGGCCCTGGCTAACTATATACTAATCCTTCTGTAGATCGACCGGTTCCGTGAACCACCTACCCAAGGTTTAATGTGTGACATTCTCTGGGCTGACCCTCTGGAAGATTTCGGTCAGGAGAAAACGAATGAATTTTTCATGCATAACCACGTACGAGGCTGCTCCTACTTCTTCTCATACCACGCCGCTTGCAACTTCTTGGAAAAGAATAATCTTCTGTCTATTATCCGAGCGCACGAGGCCCAAGACGCCGGGTACCGAATGTATCGCAAAACAAGAACTACGGGATTTCCCAGCGTCATGACCATCTTCTCTGCTCCCAACTATCTCGATGTATACAACAATAAGGCTGCTGTGCTGAAGTATGAGAACAACGTGATGAACATTCGACAGTTTAATTGCACACCGCACCCTTACTGGCTGCCCAATTTCATGGATGTCTTTACATGGTCTCTGCCTTTTGTGGGAGAGAAGATTACCGACATGCTTATTGCTATCCTTAGCACCTGCTCTGAAGAGGAATTGCGTCAACCAGACACACCTTCGACTACCACCGGCCCTCATTCTCCCCCGCTTGCCAGCCCAGCAGCTGATGCGTCCTTGGAGGCTAGAAAACGTGCTGTCAAGAATAAGATCCTGGCGATCGGGCGCATGTCACGAGTCTTCAATGTCCTTCGTGAAGAATCCGAAAGGGTTACTGAGCTTAAGACAGTCACCGGTGGGCGACTACCGGCAGGTACATTGATGCTTGGCGCAGAGGGAATTAAGAACGCCATAACAAGCTTCGAAGATGCCAGGAAAGTGGACATACAGAACGAGAGGCTGCCGCCAAGCCATGAAGAGGTCGTCAAGACCCAAGAGGAGGAACGTCAACAGGCTCTGGAGCGGGCTTCTCGAGAAGCCGAAAATGACACAAAGCTGCATTCACTTTCTCGCAGACTTAGCATGTAAGTATCCTGCGTCTCCACCGGCATGATCTTTCCCTTTCCTTCTTGCTTTCTTCTATCTTTGCTCAGTTTTGACATGTATCCAGGGATCGTAAGCGAACATAAAAGCACCGTGTTTGTATGCTAGCTAGTGTACGGTAGCGGGATGATGACGAATTAGATGATTCAGTTAATACCATTCACTGTGCCTGTGATCTACTTATCCTAGAGCTTCTTGGCAAGGGTGACCGTTTTACCAACTGGCTTGGTAATTTGTCTAAAGACTCCATGTGGAGCTTTCCCCCCAAACAGATGAATATGAATGAAGGAGTCAAGGAAGGAGGCTTGCGAAAATGGAAGGTTACTTACCTAAATACAACCATCACTTTCCGTTGCATCTTCGACACAAGTTATCCGTTTAGACTGGGACAAGTCCCTCGGCTATTGATGTGTTATGACCGGCCGAGACTAATAAATTTTTCGACCGTTCTATTCTCCCTTGCCGACGTCGAGTCTTCTCGCTATGGGCTTTCGATATGATATGTGGCGTGTTTGGACTGGGAAGAGACGCGCGCAGCGATTAACTATAAGGATGTTTTTTTTTTTTTTTTTTTTTTTTTTTTTTTTTTTTTTTTTTTTTTTTTTTATTATTTATTTTTTTTTTTTTTTTTTTTTTTTTTTTTTTTTTTTTTTGTTTCTTTTGGTTTCTTGAAATCGAAGCAGAGAGGGAAATAGATATTTGAGGCCAAGGCATATATATCGTACATCCCTCCTGCTGGCTGGCTTTGCTAATCTTGTTCAAGTACACCCACGATCATTGTGATGAGTTGTGCAAAGTCTGTGTGTGTGTGTGTGTGTGTGTGTTATGCGGTCTGGATAGATAGATAGATGATAACGAGTAACTATTTGACTTTGTTTTTTTTTTCCCCGGTTCTTTTTCCTTTTGTTGGATTATGCGGTTTTAGTGGAATTGCTGGTATGAATGAATATAGGAGGTGAAGAAAAGGTAAGTAAATGTTGTATCGTTCTATGTAATTCCATCTCCGTGGACTGGAGTTTGGTATATAGTTGAAAGACTCCACGGATATTCATTGCTGTCTACTTGCCGTCGCTAGCTGCTATCCCGCGACCGCGAGGTGGATATAAGATGAACCATTGAACACCTGCTCATATCGCCTCCGCGCCGTGGTGCTGGCTTCTCCTCATTTACTCCTCCTCCACTAATTCCATGTGGGGGTCCGCGCTACTCTTCGCGGGAAAGCATGTTTCGAAGGGTGTCATTTGTCTGATAGTCTCGGTGTTTGGAAATTCCGTGGGACGGGGATTGATCGGTGTATATAGACAGGTAGGCGTGGAAGTAGATAGCCGCTTCTGCTTCGCTGGTTTTATCCTGTCTTGTGTGGGATATTGAATTTGAGAAATACATGTTGAGGAATAATACGTGTCTTATTCACGCCATTATTTGTTTGATTCCGAGGGTACTGTTATTTTTTATGGGGTTTAAGATAATATAACGCCGTATTGACTATTTAATTCGATTCGAGCTAGTCATTACTGGTGATTGAAACTCACTCACATCGACAGACCAGAGTGAATGCTCCTGGGCTTTCTTGCGTGGAAAAGCAGATTCGGATCGGATACGTTCGAATTTATGACATAATACGTACTGTCAAGATCGAAATGGCGCCCCCAGTCCCCGGCTTCAAGCTCAACGCCAACGGCGTGCCGGATTTCGACGCCCTTCCTCTTCGCGAGGGAGATCCGCGCCGGGCTGCGTGGGGCTTGTATGGCGATCAAGACGAGCTTGGGTTTCTGAACCGGCTTACGGATGAGAGGGTTGCGGCTGCGGCTAAGGGGGAGATCAAGTCTGGGAAGAGGTAGGTGGAACTTTGTTTTATAAATGATTTGTTCATTTTTCCTGTTCATTCATTTTGTCTTATTATCCTATAATACTTGCTCTGCAACTCGCTACTCCAAATACACGCACCTTCTATCCGATCTTCTATGTCTACGTATACGAGGATAAAAAAAGTGGATGACTATAATGATGCTAATCGATTCCACAGAATCTCTCTAAACTGGCCCCTAGACGCCCAGACACACGGCAAGACCTTCTTCCAGCGCGCCGCGCTGCACAGGGAACTCTTCGCCAAGGCCCCGCGGACAGTCAACGACGACGTCTGGACGTTCAACACGCAGGTCTCGACGCAGTGGGACGGCCTGCGCCACTTCGGATACCAGGACGCCAAGCTCTTTTATAATGGTGTGTGCCAGGAGGATATCCATGCTGTTGATGATAAGACTGGGGAGAGGAGTACGGTTTTGGGGATCCAGGGTATGTTTTGTCTCAGTCTACTTTCTGTCTATCTGTCTTCTTACCCCTTTGTTCAACGAAGCTCTCAAGGGGTTTGTGACAAATAGCTAGGATGTTTGAGGTTTGAATTGGTGTATATCTCAAATGGATATCATGATATGTGCTTGGATCACAATGTATATATGCATACGGAGTTGGAAAACAAAAGGAGAATGGAAGGTGCTAATACTGATGATATATAGCCTGGGCCGAGCAAGGTATCGTGGGCCGTGGTGTCTTGATAGATTACCATGGCTGGCGGACATCAGATGAAGGACGGAAACACTCGAAGCTCAAGGACTACGATTCTTTCGCATGTGATTCTATCCCGCTTGAGGATCTGCAGACGTGCTTGAAGGCACAGGGCACGGAACTCAAGTTTGGCGATATCTTGTTTATTCGCTCTGGTAAGTATATTTCATTTACCTCTTCATGCAATCCCTATATCTTCACCTGCCTGCCACTCTTTGCACGTGATAATATTCCCATTGAAAAAAAGAAAAGAAAAAAAGTTAGACATTTTGCCCCTTGCTGACTCGATTACCCAGGCTTCATGGCATCCCTAGCCACCAAGACCGAAGACGAACTCGCCGCCTGCCGCGCCGTCGTCCCGCATCACTTCGGCGGCGTCGAGCAGTCAGAGGATGTGCTGAGGTGGATCTGGGATCACTTCGCCGCCGTCGCGGGCGATCAGCCGTCCTTCGAGTGCTGGCCCTCGAAGGAGTCGTACCATCTGCACGAGGTGCTCCTCGCTGGCTGGGGCTGCCCCATCGGCGAACTGTTCGATCTGGAGAAGCTCGCCGAGCAATGCCGGAAAGAGGGCCGTTGGTCGTTCTTCGTTAGCAGTGAGCCGTGTAATGTACCCGGAGGCGTGGCGAGTCCACCGAATGTGTTAGCTATATTTTAGGATAAGTAGGGGTTCGGGGGTGCATTTGTTGGAGATTGGGTTTGGGGGTGTGTGAAAATCTTCTAGTTCCATGCATATATCTATTCATCGCCTCATGTAACGCCATTCCCAAGGCCAGAATCTAGATGCCTTGAGGAACAATGCCATATCTCTCGTAAGGAAAATCCTCCAGACTACGCAGCTGCTCTCCCCACCCGTCGCCGGGCTGACCAAGCTGCTCCTCGTCCCCAACGGAAACCATCCCGATCCGCCCGGCCAGCACATCGGCTTCTCTGCCGATATACTCCTCGAGTAGTCCCGGATGAGGGATCCACAGCGTCCTCATGCCCGCGCGCCGACCGGCTTCGACGCCGATTACACTGTCTTCGAAGACCAGACATTCCCGCAGCGTGATCTCGGGAACACCCTCCGGAAGCGTCTCGTTGATGCACCGTAAAGCAAGTAGGAAGACATCAGGCGCCGGCTTCCCCCGCTTCACGCGCTCGTCGCCGCCGCCGATCACGCGGTGCTCAGGAGGGATGCGCTCGATCAGGGCCTTCGTAGCAGGCATTTTCATTTTCAGCTCGTAGGTCTCTCGCATGCTACTCGTCGCGAGGGCTATCTGCACGGGGTATCCGTCGGCGTTCTTCGCCGTCTGCAGATCGGCCATGAGCTTCTCGACGCCGGGCAGGGGTTCGCACTGGGGGAAATGGAGGCGCTGTTGCTCGCTCTGTTCTTGCTTGAACTGTCCTCGTGAGATGGGCAGCTGTGCCCAGTTGTGGAATGTGTCGCCGTTGCTCGAGCCCGGTATCCCCATCATCTGCGCCTTGATGGACCATGGGAGCGGTGGACGGCCGTATTTCTCTAGTACTATGTTTGCGCATTTGGTGTACATGTCTTCTGTGTTGATCAGGAGACCGTCCATGTCGAATAGACAGGCCCGGACGGGCGGGAAAACGGGTGGCATCGTGTTCTTCCCCTTCTCCCCTCTTCTCTCTTATTTATTATCTATCTAGTACCTAGTATATTTCTGTACTGGTTTTGTTAAGACTTTGCTTATTTTCTCTTTCAACTATCTGTTAAATGCCGAGTTAGCGGGTGATATGCTGACTGCCGGTATAATAAGCAGTAGCCCTGTAAGCGTACATCCTGCTAAGACACCGAGTTGAATACATACAGTCTAACACAGTAGCATCTATCGTGATCTAGGCTCAAGCAACATGGCCAGGGAACAGTTGATATTCTGCATTGTGAACGGATTCTGGTTTGAGCTAATTGAGGGGAGCGACCGTCGGAGGCCGTAGGTAATCGGGCTCACAGCAGCTCAGGTGGGCTAATGACGACTCGGCAAGAGAGGACAGAGGCCAATGGTAATTCAGATTACATATCCTCCTAAGTTAGCAGACATGCGAGGTCCTTGCTACACAGGTATGCAGCCTCCAGTTGACCTCTTTGACTCCACTCGGATCTCTCGCATATATGTATGTACTTCATCAAACCACACCCGAAACCGAGTTACGCTACGAACCTTCATGAATTCTTCTTCACTTTGAACCCGATATTCTTGTTTGAATAGACACGCATAATGTCGGTCACAAAACTCGAGCTTCGCACGGCGCTTGGTCCGGTATACCGGGATGTACTTCCTTATCCACCACGGGACTGTACACCGGACGAGATCCCGGTCATCGACCTCAAACCTATGTTTTCTAGTGAAATATCAGAGCGCAAGAAAGTCAGTTCAGCCATCAAGGCCGCCGCCATCAATAACGGCTTCTTCTATGTCAAGAATCACGGCATATCGCCTGAAATCATCGCGCAATGCAAATCACAAGTCGTCAATTTCATGCGACAGCCACTAGAAACAAAGGACCAGATTAGGTCGCATAAGTACAGCAAGTATTTCAACGGCTACTTAGGCAGGCGAAGGGCCCAGATATCGCCCAGCGAGACAGCCGATGTGCGCGAATCGTTCACCTTCCGCTACTCCCCTGAACTTGATCCTGACCACCCTCAAGACATATCAGACATCCCTGCTGAGGTCCGCCCGTGGATTCGAGGGGAGGATTTCGTATGGGAGGGCACAAATCATCTGCCTGGTTTCAAAAAGGACTTGGTAGCGTACTGGAGTGGGTGCCTTGGGCTGGCGAGAAGATTGGTACAAATGTTTGCGCTGTCGCTTGACCTTGAGGAGGACTATTGGGATGAGAAAGTGACATACCCCGGAGCTGAGTACATATCCCGCAGTGTATCTGTCAACATGCGGCCTGCTAATAAGCGTACTGTGCACAGCGGCGTATTCAATTACTATCCCACCAGGACTCAGGAAGAAGTTCAGCAAGAGTTTGTCGGTCTAGGTAGCCACACCGACCTACAACTGTTTACACTGCTCTGGCAGGACAGTATAGGCGGATTGCAAGTATTGACTCGCGAGGGCCAATGGATCAAGGTGACTGCTAGTAATTCTCCAGACTAAGCATAAGCTGACGGTTTCAGGCGCCGCCAATTGATGGGACGCTCGTCGTAAACATTGGTGATTATATGATGCGCCTTTGTAACGACATCTACAAGTCCACCGTCCATCGCGTCACCAATGAGTCAACCCAGGAACGAGTGTCAATGCCCTTCTTCTTCGGTGAGCCCTCAATGCTCTCCCAATAGGCTGCTTAATGACTAACAGATGATAGGCTTGAACTTCAATTGCGTCGAAGGGGTCGTTCCTTCATGTACCTCGGAATCGAACCCGGCGAAATACGAGCCGATATCTTGCGGTGATTGTGAGGAGTACTTTGACCATCCGTATAAGACCAGATTTCTAATGTAAAGCAGGGTGTCAGATGAGATTCAAGATGGAAAATGAGGAGTTTGTGAAGAACGAGGCGAAACGGTCGATGGCTCCTAGCGCTGTCGTTGTAGCTGGGTAATAGCGATATATTCCTATGGTTTGATGTTTTCCCCCATGCTCAAATGATCGTTATAAGACCTTCTGGATGAGTTCAAGCACATCAAAGAAGGCCTCTCGATCAGCTCGGAGCTTCTGCAGGCCCAACCCGACTACTAAAGTGCGACGTTCATTAGAGTCACGCCTCACAATGTAGCTAGCTATCTGGACAGCGTATAACTGAGCTAAAGACTCGCGCTCTTCACCACCACCCCCGAGTAGTGTTTTGGGGGTGAGATGAGACATGGGTAGTAAGCTCTCATTCGCAAGCGCCATATCCACGGCAGCTGGAGACGGCGCAGAGAGTGGTACTTGAATCTAGAGAATTTAGTTAGCAAAACGAATTCTTGAAAAGGTGTTACTAGAAAACTTGCCCATTGAGAAAGCCTGCCCTCTTGGCACAGAGTCAGGAGAATTCTATCGGCGAAGAATAAAGCAGTGGCTTCAGTAGCTACGCCGTCAATCTGGCCTGTTTCACGCTTGGACGCAGCCGGGAAAGGCTCTTCGATGATCTGATCCATCTCCATGGTGCTTGAAAACTCTATAGCACAGAATTCGTTGAAACTTGAGGCCGCCAGTCGACAACTTGAGATAGATCAACTGTTGAATATGAGATGCAACCCGAGGAGCTACTTGGCTGTAGTCTAAGTGCCGGGTACCATGGTACATCTATGTAGCTTGTAGCGCTACCAAGACACCATTCTAGCGGGACAATTAGTGGGACATACTACCTACTTAGGTAAGTACCGTGTAAAGGACTGGCTACCCCGCGCTAAGCCGGTTACGATCTACAGCATTTGATTCTGCCAGGCGGTCAAAATTAATTTCCTGGGCATATTGAGGATTTGCTGATCGTCTTATACATCGTATTGAGCCAAGTATACCTATCAGATAGCCTTCTTCGCTCCTTTCTATTTTTCTTTCTTCATTCTCTTGGTTTCATCATCGCATACTTTCTAGGGCCGGTCAGGATGGCCAAGAAGTTTGTTCCTCGCCAGAGGAAACATAAGGTCCTTGCGCGAGAGGCGCGAGAAGCACAGCAGGCGGCTGTTGAAGATGGCACAACTCCATCTGCTCACATCGACAGCAATGCTGTTGAAATTCTTCCAGATTCGAAAAAGGCAGCCGAGGAAGCAAAAAGAGCCCGGATGAAGGCCGAATTAAAAGGCGATGCGAAAATGAGTAGCAAGAAAGCTAAACGACTCGAAAAGTACATTGATAAAAAGCTTGCGAAAGATGAGAATCGCGCGCTCTTGGCGCAACTAGCCGCCAATAAGATTGATACGAGTCTTTTTGCTAGCAGTCGTAATTTGGGGACTGCCAAAGAGACCAAGCGTGAGATGATGAGCCGGGCGCTGAGAGAACGCGCTGCTGGGATCTCTCAAACCGATGAGAGCATACTTTTTGAGAAGAGACCTGAACCAATAGATGACTCGGAGGATGAAGACTTAGACGACGAGGACGTAGGAAAAAAGGCCGAATTACTAGTAAAGGATGGAGAAGTTACACAGTCTGAGAAAACCGGGATATCAGAGCCTCCAGCTCCTTCAGTTGTGGCTGGATCCGGTCTGAAACGACCATTGGAGCTGGACGATGAAGGAAGACCCTTGTTGCGCAAAAGGCAGAAACGAGGCGGCGTCAAATCGAAATTTTCAGGAAACGCGGGCTTTATACCAGAAATTCCTTTAAGTCCATCCAATGATCAACTCGAAACGCAGGGCGAACCAAAGGACGAGGATGAAGATGAGGATGACGAATGGAATGGATTTAGTTCTGACGATGCGGCATCCGCTGATGAACAAGAGGAGTCGGGGACCGAATCTTCAAGTGCATCGGCGGATGAAGGTACAAGTGAAGAGGACACCTCATCGGAAGATGAAGACGATGAAGATGACGGCAATGCCGCCAAAACGCGCTCATCGGCATTCAAAGCGTGGGCTCACGAACAGAGAAATTCAGCCCTCGGCTACCAACCCAATAACGGCAATACTACACTGGAATTTACAGTTCCTCAAAATTTTAAACCAAGACCAATCGAGCAAGACCCTTTGCCACTAGAGCTACAACCAACGAAGGATACTGGGCGAAAGGCTTATAGCGTTGTAGTTGAAAGGCTATCTGAAATACAAGAAGCTAGGCTCAAGCTCCCTGTAGTGGCCGAGGAGCAAAGAATCATGGAAGCAATCCACAACAACAATGTGGTTATCGTCTGTGGTGCCACTGGATCCGGAAAAAGTACGCAAGTTCCTCAAATGCTATTCGAGGCAGGATATGGCTCTCCAGACTCTCCCACACCAGGTCAGATTGTTGTTACCCAGCCCAGAAAGGTTGCCGCGGGTAAGTAGATATCAACCTTCCATTTGTCAATAAGATCACTAAAAAATACCAAATAGTGTCCGTTAGTCAACGTGTGTCGACTGAATTAGGGAGCCATTCTGACGCAGTTGCATATCAAATTCGATTTGAGGGAACTGCCAGCGAGAAGACTAGGCTCAAGTTCGTAACGGATGGTGTATTGCTTAGAGAAATCGGCAATGACATCTCTTTACTAAAATACTCGGCTGTGATCATTGACGAAGCTCATGAAAGGAGTTTGAATACAGATATTCTCATCGGCATGCTGAGTAGAACAGTTAAGTTAAGAGAAGAGATGGCTAGTGAAAACCCGAAGATTTCTCCTCTAAAACTGATTAGTGAGTTACTTCAAAGAGTTAAGTTCCCCCTTTGAAGTGTAAATTGCTAACTAGAGAATAAGTCATGTCCGCCACTCTTCGGATAAGCGACGTGACTAACTCGACATTGTTTCCCACGCCACCCCCGGTTCTGAACATTGAAGGCCGACAGTATCCTGTGGCGATACATTTTGCCAGGAGAACACAGCCTGACTATGTCGATGAGGCCTTCAAGAAGATAATTCGCGGGCACCGCAAGCTTCCGCCCGGCAGTATGCTTGTCTTCCTCACTAGTCATAGTGAAATTTCTAGGTTGAGCCAAAAGCTGAAACTCCATCAAACTGGGTTAAAGTCTGCATCTTACCCTAAGATTCGTTTCTCAGCAAATGATGGTCCTCTGGAAGTAGAAGACATCGAATTCGGTCAAACATCGGACGATGTTACGGGCAATGAACTCGACGAGTTACAGATCATTGGGGACGAACAGGATATGGATGAGGAGGAGGAAGCTGAATTTGACATTCCTAATGAGACGGGGCAAGCTCTGCCTCTCAAAATGCACATATTACCCTTGTATTCTCTCCTACCCACGAGGGAACAGATGAAGGTTTTCGAAGAGCCTCCCGAGGGCTCACGCTCTATAATATTGGCTACCAACGTTGCTGAAACATCACTGACTATTCCGGGGGTGAAATACGTGATAGATTGTGGGAGATCCAAGGAGCGTGTTTTTGACCCTGACACAGGGGTGCAGCGCTATGAGATCGGTTTCATAAGCAAGGCGAGTGCCAATCAACGATCCGGAAGAGCAGGACGTACCGGCCCAGGTCATACCTGGCGACTTTATTCGTCTGCCGTTTACGAGAGAGATTTACAAGAATACGCGGATCCCGAAATCCTGAAGATGCCGATAGAAGGAGTCGTGCTTCAGCTCAAGGCAATGAACTTGAAGCACGTTGTAAATTTCCCCTTCCCAACTTCTCCCGACCGACATAGCCTGGCAAAGGCGGAGAAGCTCCTTCAGCATCTCTCAGCAATCAACGCAGACGGCTTCGCGACTCAGATCGGGAAAACGATGAGCAAACTTCCTCTTCCACCACGATTCGCGCGTATCTTATTAGTCGGGCATCTTCACGATTGTCTCTCCTACACCATCGCTCTAGTCGCAGGCCTATCAGTAGCAGAGATCTTCCTCCCAGAGTCCCAAGTAATCCCTCCAGAAACAGCGGAAGACGATGAAGGTGGGCAAGGCTTCAGAACGAACGAGGACATCGCGGCAGAGAACGCACGGGCCCAAGCCAGGCGGAAATACAACGAAGTGCATCGCAATTTCCGCTCGCTCGACGACGCATCCGACGCAATCAAGCTATTGCAAGTCGTAGGCGAGTTCGCGCACTCGCCCTCGGAGAGCTGGTGTACGTCGCGGTTCGTGCGTTTCAAAGCCTTGCAAGAGACGCAGAAGCTGCGAAAGCAAATCACCACGCTCCTGCAGAAAGACATCCCTGCATTCGCAAACCTGACGTTCAAGGAGCGTCTTGACCGGCCCAGCGCGAAGCAAGTGACGGCGCTGAAGCAGATGGTAGCAGCAGGCTTCATCGACCAGGTCGCGATCCGGGGAGATCTAGCCCCCGTGCCGCCAGAGATGCACCGCAAGCCGCGGCGCGCCATCGACGTGCCGTATCTCCCCCTGCAGCCCCTCCCAACCCCCGCCAGCACCGCCACGGGCGACGCCCTGATAGACAGAGCAGTATTCATCCACCCGTCCAGCAGCCTCTCGCACTACAGCCCGCAAGAACTCCCCGAATACGTGATATACAGCGGTCTCCAGCGGTCCTCGGCCTCGGGCCCCGTCGACGGGGCGAAGAAGCCGAAGACGAGGATGCTCGCGCTCACGGACGTCACGGGGGCCCAGCTCTCCGCGCTCGCGAAAGGCACGCCACTCATCTCGTACGGAAAGACTATCAAGGAAGTCCTGAGTGAACCCGGTGCCTCGACGCGCGAGTGCTGGGTCGTGCCGTATCTCAGGGCAGAAGGAACCGGGGGTCAGGGCTGGCCGCTACCCGTGAAGAAGGTCGCGCAGAAGAAAGTGCCGGGTAAGGGATGGATTACGGAGTGATTTCGATTATGTTCTGGACTAGGATTAGAGCGCGATGAGTGTTTCGCTAACTACGTTGTATATATCTTTGATACCAATACACCCACTGTAGTTATAATATAGTAGTTGTGATAAAGGGATTCGGAAAAGACTCTGTTAAGAGACAAAATCAAAATTCTATCGCAGACAACATTATACTGCGATCAAAGCAGGTAGGTAGATGTCACATCACACGGATATCTATCCACGCCCCGTTCCGGCAAAACTAGAGAAGAATCTATGTTCAGCTCTACGTGTACAAAGTCTATCTACTCCAGCTCTCTAAGTATCTACATAAGTAGGTAGAAGGAAGGAGTCTAACTAATAATTACAAAACATAGCGAATAATAAAACACCATATCCCATATCTGACAATTGCGCCGCGCTCATCTATGTATATGAAACAGCCAAAAGTAATCTCGACAAGAAATATCGCGAAGAAATATTAAGCCTTCACAAGGTGACTGTGACTGTGACTATGAACTATGAACTATGTCTATCAAAGGTTATGTACTTAGAACTGTACACTCACAGCCTGTGCAAGCGACGCCTCTTTCGGAGTCGCTCTCTTTAATGCTCCCGATAAGGCGGCGGCGCATCTGCACCCGTCGCGCCATTTCTCTCTGGCTCCAAAGGTTCGGGTAAGCCACGCGGCTGTGATAATGAAGGGTCCGTGAGGAGTGAAGTAGCTTTTATCATCATCCTGGGAAAGTACTGCTGAATGAAGGACTCCCTATAGTCATCGTGTCAGTAATCAGATTTGACTGGTGACTCGGAAGTTATAACACGTTATAGGATGTACTTACGTATAGTAGCTGTGATCCGCATTATGGGGCTGGATGAGGTTATGCGCAAGTTCGTGAGCGATGACAACCCACCACCACACGGCGGCGGAAGCCTTGTCTTCGCCGCTTCTGGGGTCTCCGTGCAGTTGTTTGTAGAAACGCAAATTGCAAAAAATGCTGCCGTCGCGGTTGAAGGCGATGGTGCTACCGCTTTCGTCGTAAAAGACGTGCAGCACATTTCTCGGGATCTGGTATACGTCGCCGACATCCTTGAGAAGAGTGGCGAAAGAGTTGATCTCGGTATGGTTTGATGTCAGGAACGTTTCCGTTTGGGACCGAGGTATGTTGGAAGATACGAATACACGCATTCCATTTGAAGCATCAGCTAATAGTGTTAGATCTTTGGCGGCTGTATCATCGCAATAGGTCGCCTGTTCCTTAACCTCACGAGTCGTTGGGGGAGAGTACAATGCTGACGAGTCATAAGCCCGTGTTGATTTAATTGCATTCAGCAAGTTCTGTTGTACAACTGCTGGGTTGGTGACTTTCCCATCCTGTTCACTCCTACCAGGTTTCGAGCCAGAAGATGATGGCTCGGCGGGCGCCAAAGTTCCAGGATTGGAACTGGAGCCAATCAAGTTTTTGAGCGGCTCTTTCTCATCAGGCTCGTCGCTATAATCAAATCCGAATCGCTTAGATAGGTTGGAAAAGAGTCCTCCCCCTTTTCTGCTCTGTGGAGGCGAAAGCACTGGAGACGGATAATCATGGTCATCTGCAGAATGGAAGCCACCAGGCATGCGAGGAGGCGGGGTGTTGTTTTGTTCTCGTGCCGTAGCAGTCACGCTGGTCGTTGCAGCTTGGTTCTGTCGTATGAATTCTTGTTCTCGTTCTCGGATCCGAGATTGCTCCTCATCTAAGGCCTTTCGCCTCTCTTCCTCCGCAATTCTGGCTTCCGCGGCCTTCGCTCGAAGAATACGATCTACGTTGTACCCACGAGCTCTCAAGTCTAGTAAATCTAGTTTAAGAAATGGTTCAAAAAAGAAATATGCTTGTTGACTTGGTCGGTTTAGGATTAACTGGCAGATGGCTTGACCGACTTGGTACATGTCTGGACGCGATGATTCAGAGGCCACATAGAGTACCCATCCAGTGGAAGTCTGACTGCTTGCGGCCGATCTTTTCTCTGTATGAAATTGTCCTGACGTGCGAAGTGATCGACGAAGGGCAACAGAACGTACAATTACCACTGACAAGTTCTTCTCTAGCCATTTCGCATCGTGCTTGATAGCATCCCGCGTGTACCGAGCATACTCGTGGATAAAAAGCTTGGACCGTTCAAGTACATGCTTGCGTAGCCAAACCGCACCATCCTGCTTTTCGCTGTGTCCCCCCACCCTTAGATCTTCTTGCACCGTTGTTGAGAGACATGGGGATCCGAGGGCTTGATAGAAGGACTCGAGGACGTCTTCCTCAGGAGCACATTTCAAATGGTCTTTGAAGAGTCTATAGCTGATGAAATCGTCTAGTATGACAATTTCTGAAGGTGCCGCAAGCTGGTAAGTCCGAACAACTTCCTCCTCTTCATCTTGTTCCACAGCCTTCCCTTTCGGGCTCGGGATCTCCTTAAATGCCAAAAGAAAGGATGCTTTTTTCATCTTTCTCCATAGTTCTTTATCTCTTTTGATAGTGGGCATATCTCCCGCCAGCGATCGCAGTAAGCTCAGGTATTTATCAGGACTCTTGAGTACACTGAGAAGCCGCGCCGGCTCTCCTGCCGCTAGTTGAGCAATTTCCAATTTGGTGGGCTCGTTGTTTGAACCGCAAGCCGAGAGGAACGAGTTCGCAGGCTGGCCGAAGTCAACAAAATCAAATACATCGCCGTACATAGCTGAGCTTCCGAGATAACAATGACGTGGCTGTAAGTGCACAACCGGCCCTGTCTTCTCATCTGCATGGACTGAAGATAAAATCCCCGATTCTCGCGTCTTCTGCGAGACTGGCACAATCCGAGCATCACCGAGCGTCTTTATTGATATTCCGGGCAAATCATTTATGCGACTCGAGAAGTATTGAAAGATAGGAATTGCTTCCTTGCGGGAGTTGGGAGGACTGTTGATTAGGCGCTGAACACAGTCACCAATTAGTGGATCTCGCGACACGCCAAATTTCTGCGCATCACCATGAAGTTCCTTTTTCAGAATATCGAACCCCAAAACAGCAGCCGCTTCATTAGTGAAGCATTTGGCAGGTGGAACGAGTCTCTTAGGGTCTCCTTGAAGCGGTAGGAATGCTCGGGTACTAGAGCTGATTTGGAAAGCTCCATAGCCATTTTTCTGATGAAATGTAACAAAGTAGTCCATAGCACTTTCACGCAATTGCTGATCTGAAGAAGTCATCATTTCCACTAGTTCAGGAGCAGAAGGGTGTGCTCGCAACCCAAGAGCCTTAAGAAATTTCGCTTCTGGTGACAGGAGACTCAAGTTACCGCCAGGCCACTGGAGAACCCTCAATTTAAGAGGGCGGAGTATACGGTTGGGTTCAAACAACTCGGAGATCTTGTATAGCTGTGAACTTGCTTGAGAGGACTCTCTGCCTGCAGGGCCAGCCTCAGCAGGACAAATTCGAGATTGTGTCAGTTTAGCAAAGTCATCAGCAGGTATATCCTTCTGAACTGATGCCAGGTACTTAATCAGCTCAACGTGACTCCATTTGGCTTGCCCAGTGCTATCTTTCTCTGAAGATGGGCTCAATAAGCGCTTGAAAATCGTTTCAAGATCGACCGTCTTTCTGATACCGAGTGCAGAGAGGAATTTCTCCTTCAAATGCGAGCATTCAATAGTAGGTAGATCATCAAATAGCTTCACAGATGGGAAGAAAGAATCCGTTGGCTTCCTCATGCCTTGCTTAGTGGGTATGACGGTATGAGCCTTCAGTAGGGACACGGTTTTGTCTTTCGAAAACTGGCTTTGTTGATCCCAGCTCTTCGACAACGCAGATAAAATACGAATTGCAAACTCGGGAGACTTAGTCATATCTTGATCTGCTGGCCTGCTGAATCGGGTGGTAATTAAGAATTCAACCCAAGGGAAGAGGTCCAAGGGTTCCCAAGACAGTGCTCGCAACTCTTGGTTGCTGCAGCTTTTGGTATACTCAAATGGAATAGTTGTTGGTGGAATTGGAAGTTCTGTTGGAATTTTGGCTGCTACCAGAAAGTTCTTGATACTTCCCAGCGCGATTATGTTGCCTTGATCTTGATCATTCTTTTTATTGACCACAGCAACAGCAACGTCGAGTAATTTATTCCGAGTCTGCAAATCCAGTTCACCTTGAAGTGCTTTCTTCGCTACCCATTGAATAAAATTGGGAAGTTGAGCTTCCGTGAGCGGTTTCGTTGAAAGCTCTCTATGCACATCCTCGATGGTGATTTGCGAGAGTAGGTCAAAATCAATCAGTTTCTTCACAAAGCCGATATTTTCCAACTCAGGCGGCACCACAGCAATACCTTGGACGAAATTCTCTAGTTCTTGAGAAGCGAGTCGGACTTGACTGGTAGGAAGTACACCTCGAGTGCTATAGATTTCCACAAACGGTCTTTTATATGCTGTCCAGAAAGCTTCCTCAATCGTCTGAGAAACGTGACCACTTGGGGTAGAGTCACCAAATGTAAATGCTTTTAAGATATGCAAAGCTTCTTGCATGTGTTGGGTTGTCTCTTTTGAAGTTATGCCAGTACCCGCAGTTTCCGCAGCTTTTTGCAGCTTCATTTGGAGTTCGGTCATTTCATGGGCAAAAGCTAGTCTTGTCATGATACCTGCTGCGCGTAGCATTTCAAGATTCCATGTCCGAACCCACCTTGCGTTCAAGTCAATGGCTTCACGTTCTACAGTCGGGATGACAGACGGAGCAGATATGTGCATACCACCACCAGTTGTCTGAGTAGTTGGAAATCCGATGAATATCCGTCCACCCTTTTTACTTGGGAGCACAGAAGCGAAGACATCAGTGACAGCGGATAATTGAGCAGACTCCTGTGAGCCCCCCGATGCCTGCTCTTCGTCGTATGAGGATGTCAAAACAGATAGCTTCGTCATCTTTGGTGGAGGCTTCTTGGTTGCCCTTTCTAACTCGGAGGCGAAGCTTGCAGTCACGGATGTTTTAATTGCGCCTGTGGTGACGCGGAGGGAAATAGTTGATGTAGACATGACCGTAACATCCTCAGATATAGCGTCTTGAACAGCTTTCTCCTCTCTTGCAGCCTTTGTAGCCTTTGTAGCGGTGGCGGTGAGTCTGGAGAAAAAGCTTCGTAGTGACGGTATCTCAGAACTCCCCAGGCCATAAGCTTCATTTTTTGCTGCGGCTGCCTGAGGTTTCCATCCTATGGCATTCATGAAAGAAGCATCAATTTGAGCGCTAGAGCGGTCAACGCTTCGGACCGTCATGAGACGTTCCCTTGTCGTCATATCCATATCTCTCGGAATCGTCACATTCTCGTTAGGACTCGTTTTTTTCTGCAAAGAAACAATCTTGTAATCATCTATCCAAAACTCAATATGTTCCAATGCCACAAATGTCAAACTCGTTGCTAAAAACTGGCCTACGGAGAGTAGGTTGGGTAACGTGGTGGTGGTATTCCGGTAATCTAGAACGAAGGCAGTATTCAGACTACACTGATCCTCAGGAAGCGATAGTTTTCTGGTAAAGAGTGCGTTTCCCTTCCAGTAGAATGCCATGGCCTCGCTGCCTGAACTGACAAAGGGTTCCTCGCAATCGGCAAAGACACTGTAAAATCCAACACCGAATGCCCCGATCTTGGTCTCGTCTGGGTTGCCTTCGGCTATTCTTTTGAGCCTCCCCCAGTCTGTCTTTGTGAAGGGCTGGCCGTTATTCTGAACAACAAGCCGACGAAGGGTATTATGTGTGATGATGTGCTTTAATATCGCGGATCGATCGGCCATGGTTGGAAGGGGTACATGGGTGGAGGGCAGAGTTTCCCATTTTATCTTGACGGTTGTCGCTTGTGCATCGGCCGCGTTCTGAATGAGTTCTCGTAGGGTTGTCCATTCTCCTGAATATCTCGCAAGTACCTTGTCGATCAGGGCTCGAGTATCGACGGTGACTGCTTCCTCATCTTCCCCATCTTTCAGGGCCGCAGCCCGGAGTCTTTCAAAATCCATCGTGTACTGTCGTAGCGCGCAAAGAAGTCGTCCGTTCACGGGGTCATTAATTAATGATACAATGCTAGATGAGGCGTGGCAGAAGAAAAACCGAGAGGTCCTCGTGCAGAAAGACCAGGGAGCAGCAAGCGTTATACGTGATAGAGAGGTCGGTGTAAGAAATAGAGGGGGTGGGTGGCAAGGCTGACGCTTGGCTCGAGAAGGATCTCGCTAAGTAGGCATCACCCAACACAAAACAACGACCAACACCGATCGAGTTCGAGGCGGTGCGGTGCTGAGAAGAAGCACGGTGAAGCTTCACCGACAAAGTGGAAAAGGCCCGAGACAGCAGAAGCAATTGCTGAAAGAATGACAAAGACGGCCACGTACGTGTTGATGCCAGGGCAGACCAGGGCCAAGTCAGTACCAACAACGGATATACCACGGTCCCAGTCCCAGCTGAGGCTCGGTTGACATGGAGATGACGACGTGTGGTCGTCTATCTGACAGGTTTCGAAATGCCACTCAAACTCAATGGGTGGCACTCGCCCTACCTGCATCTAGAAATGGCCTGTAGTACGGCCTTATCTAGGGAGATAAGTACGCCTGTAGCTACCTAAGCTAGGTAAGGTAGCTGGGTCTTGCCTTGCACAGTTTAGGTAGCGATGCAATGCGCCTAGACACCTAGACACCTTAATTAGGTACTGGGCTTCAGGGTGTCTGTTAGGTACTTTCTTAGGTACCTAGGTAGGTACATAGCCAGTAACCCCGCTGGGTTCGTGGGGTAGATTAGGTGCCCATCTCGATGGGTATCTACTACTGTACCTTGGTTCTGCTTGGTAGATGCTTGGAGATCGAACAAATGGAATGCTACCAACACGATCAACATAATTAGGTAATATTCCGAGCTTACGAAGCTACTGCATTTTTACTACCTGCCCTTCCGAGGGTTTTTTTAGTGCGAGTTTCGAGGGAAATAAATCTGCACATTGTTCCCTAACCCAGGAACAAGAGAGAGCTTTATAGGCTTCTGGTTAACACTTCTCTTGAGTCCCATTGCTCTGAGCTTGTCAACATCGATAAAAGCAACAGCAATAGGCGCCGTGTATAAAATAGAATCAAAATCAAATTTGGGGTTAGAGTTAATCTCTTTCATGGCTATTTCTCCGATAGCGCTGAGGACTTCCATCTCCTCTTGCATCTCGTGACCTAGATCTATGACGTTCTCTGTAAGATCTTTTGTGCTCTGCACCTTCAATACTGCAACTTCTATGTCGACCCGTTCTGTATGACCGCTCGGACTTGTCTGTGTCTCTATGGCGACTATGATTCCTTTGTTTATTGTATTCGCGTCTATCGTCTCTGTACTCTACTGGGCGAGAGCGACGATCCTCGTATCTTCCACGGGGTGACCCATCGCGACGTCTATCCCGGTCTCGCTCACGGTCGCGATGGCGGTGGCCTCTCCTGTCTCCATCCCGGCTACGGCTGCGACTGTGACTTCGACTGCGGCTTCGATGCCTGCGTCTATGTCGCCTTTCTGGGTCCCTGTGGTGCTTGGATGCTGGGCGATCATCTAGCTTAGAGCCTACTGCCTCAGGCGTAGGATTGTCCTGAGTTCGAGATCCACCTACATCCACGGCGTTCGCCCCCGTAACGTTTCGTGGAGCGACGGGAAGTCCCAGTGCGCGAGCCAATGCATCCTCTTCAGCCTCCTTGATCTTCTTCAGCTCCTCTTTCCGCTCACGGGCAGCTTGCTGTTCTGGCGTCTCGTCGGAAGCCGCATCTGTCGCATCTGCCTTAGCGTACCAGTTAAGGTCTCTTCCTTTTTGCCAACGGCCGACTGGGGCTTTCAGGCTGTGTCCGAGATAATTTTCACGGTGAGCAGAGGTTGTGACATCTTCCCAGTTGAAATTGACTCCGCCACGCGACCCCGTTTTACGGATACCTGAGACAAGATCCATGGGGAAGGCGTGCGTACGGCGTATGCCACAAGTTAAACCGGATAGAATAGGTCGATTCTAAATGCCCTTGGCTTCTTTCTTTGATGTGTTTTCGTAGCTAAACTACCGCGATCGATGGAGATCCGGTAATGGGCGAACACAGATGTTGTAGATGTTATGTTCTCTAGCTTGAGAGAACCCAATTCAAGCTAAGGTAGATGCCCCTAATGTATACCCACTAAGCTACGTGTAGAGAGGTACCTGGTTAAGGCCTATTAAGCCTTTCAAGGCGCCTGCCCTGCTTAACCACAGCACATGGGTATCCCTGTCTATTGACGTTTGCGCTCCACTAAAACTTTAACTTCGTTCATGAAATCCACTGGCTGATCGTGTCAACAATCCAACATCTTCAACCCTGGTGAATCCATCACGGATTGAGGGAGCTTTCCGTCCCGAACTTGAAGACGACCTCAGCTCTACTGCAGCTAATCTGAAGTCTTCGTGCGCCCTGTATCCTATCTTACACCGATCGACATCGCGAATCCAGACTTCGAGCAGAGCGAAACGATACCTCGGAGCCTCCCCATCGACTATCACGAGCCTGGCGTCTGCTTTCCCATTGCCGTCCTTACTGCTGCACTGCATACCTAGTATGGCTTCTCAAAGCGAGCCGCCTCTGGACGAAATCCAGTGGCGCCATCCACAGTCGGCGCAACAAATGCAAGGAATCCATAGCAATTCGGTGCTTTTCTATTTCGCACAGTCGCCCTTTTTTGATCCGACCTCGAATAACGCCGTGCTGGCGAACCAAGCCATGTTTAATCCAGCCATGTTCCATCTAATACAAACCCGTGAAGCATTTGAGGGCCGGCTTCGGGATATGTCGGGCCTTGAATTCATAGTCGCGCAAGAACCCGCCGAGACTGCGCCCGGGACTGGCACCGGTGTCTGGGTTATCCGCAAGCAAACCCGACGCAAGCGCGATCCTGAGGATGAGATAATCGTACATGCTACTTACTACATCGTGGGAGAGAATATCTATATGGCGCCTACTCTTGCCCAAGTCTTAAGCTTTCGCATGGTAAGTCGTGCTTCTGGCCTGAAGGTCAACGAACAGGACCTAGGAGTCAAGATCTGCTGATACTCTTCGTAGGCAACCATCTCTTCATCCCTGAACAAATGCTTCCCCGCGGCAGACGAGGCACGCACTTGGACACCATCTCAAGGGCACATATACAAAATGTCACAAGCTACTCCTAATTCTCGTCCGCGAAATGCTGTGGAATCTAAAGAAACAACGCCGCGGCCTGACGAGACCGCCGCTGCGAATAAAAACACTAGCACTTCACAATTGAAGAAGCCAGATGCTGTTTTATCGAGCTTTGATTTGGTCCGACACGCCGAGCATTCCATGCTTGTGCATCTACAGTCTGGCGGTGACTATGAGAACGAGAACCCCATTACAGGTAAACCAGGTGCCTTCAACCTGAGCAAGACGGGTCGAACAGACAAGCTCCAGGTCCCAGGTATCACAGCTCTAAATACAACTTTCAAGAGCACATCAATTTTAGACCTTGGGGTGAAAAAGGCGAAAGACGGAAACTCTAAGGCCGGAGACAAGACTCCGAAGACTCCTACTAGCGGTACATCCAAGCTCAAGCGGAAAAAGAGCAAGACAGGCCAGACGCCGACCTCCTCGTAGGGCGAGGGAGACGGCCTGGCCAAGAAGAAACTTACACGGGAAACTGGGGCTCCAAGAAGGAAGAAAGCCAAGCAAATATCAGGGGATGTTACGATTTAGCTAATTTGGTTGAAGATGATGATTATGCATCCTCAAAGTGTGCAACGTGTGGCGTTTTGGAACGGGGAGTACTGGAAGGCAGCATTTGATACCCATGTTTCGAATATAACAATATGATCTATCGGGACTCCTCATCGTGGGAATAGACATGAACTAAATCAAGAATCGTAATATATTCGCAATATATACTATAGCTGGAAAATGGTCGCCGATTCATTTCGAATTTGTCATCTTCCAAGGTTCGGTAAGGATCTGCCATCATAGTTTCACGTCAAGCTCTGTCGCGCAACGCTCATCTAGGAAAGAGTCGAATTCAATAGCCCGATGCTAGTACCCTGTCCACATAATGGCTGTCAAGTATAGATCCTCATCCTACCCACGCTTCCGATTGATAGGCGCAGCACGGGGACAGATCATGAAGATAAGAGAGTATATTTCCATGCACTATACAACCACGCCGCAGAACCACGTCGACGTCTAATGTCCCCCGGTCTACACGACATTGCATCGTATGAATATCCGACTGGTCGCGGGGAGTTGCGCGAGCGAACTAGGGAAGGAAGCATGAACGTACTTTGAGAAGGATTCCCCATCCCTTGTTCCGCGGATGAGGTGCAAGGAAATGGGCATCTAGGATGATACAGGCCGCTCGTCCGGGTTGCGCACGTGCTGGAGATCAGGCTGACTACACACCTTACTTGACACGTAGATAATTCATTACAAAGCCATTTGTGATTCAACACTTGAGCACACCATACATTGAATGGTAGAGGAATCGATTCCATCGATAAGGCGACCACAACCCCCATGTTCAACGTACCGAAAAGATGCTGCTGCGCCACGGGACCCCGACGTCCAGGCCCGGAACCATGAACCGGGTGCGTAAACGAGTGGTTCCCCCACCATCTCATCGTATATCCACCGCGCGTGTATTAGAAAGGGCTCAGGAATCGAAAATCACGAGTCGACAAGCCACCCCGACACCAGCTAGGCAGTCAGTGACTCAATCGGTCCTGACGAGACAAGCAGTGTACGAGCAAGGCTGGCTGGATGTCATTCCGTCTGTGCGCCTACAGTGTCCGAGAGGGCCGAGGACACTTTGCAATCCTTATCGACTGGAGAAGCACGAGGTCACGGATCTCCCCCGGTATTCTGCGTTCCAGCTCCACTCGAGAGCCGGGTGGGATCGTCTTTGAAACCTGTCGTGGCTCGTCTTTGTGCCTGCGAGCGTACTTACTAGTCATCCAAGTAACGTCCTCAGCTTCGTCATATGCCTGAGCAGAGAGGAAGGCTAGGCAGCGTAGACGGGTTGTCTCGCGGAACAAATACGGTTTATTTAGGTAGTCATGCTGTACGAGGTACGCAGCTAAGCCAGGAGGAAGTAACACCTAAGCTTGGTATATGCCCGATCAGCTCGCGTTGTGCCACTCGGAGAGAGATGATGGCCTCTGCGATCTATTTTCCTATCCCGCTGAAATTGATTGTTGCCAATGGTGTTATTCCGAACATACATACTGCAGTAGCATATAAGGCGGCGCGGCGCATTTGCGTCGACGATCATATCTCGGTTGAAAGCACCTAGAGAGGAAATAAGAAGCGAGGGGTATTAGAAGAATGCAGATACACGGACCATACGGTAAAGGACCGCACAGGACAGACGGATATGATGCAACGGTAGGTAGGATACAAACCAAGCAATTCAGGTAGGACTGGCAAGACGAGGCAAACGGAGGCAGATACGGCCGCACGCACGCCGAAGGAACGAAAGTCCTTGATACAATTACAATCACTACTGGGTTTACTGTAGCAGTGATAGGAGGAGTGGAAGTACCGAAAGCTCTACCACCTATCTAGAACTAAGTATACTTAGGAAGAGCCCACGATGTTTCTGGCTAGGAGCAATATCTTCACGGAACCGAGGAGTACGCGTAGACAAATGCCTAACTTGTGCGCCGCCCCTACCCTCGAGTTGATTAGGTGGCTGATGTATGTATGAATCATTATCATTCAGCCTTCACGATCGCAGAGCTAAATCATACCCAAGCCTGGCAGGTTACACTACAACGTTACGTGACAATGGCAACAGTAGAGCGTGCCACATTCACAATGTCATCTCAAAAGGCCGTGACGAGGAAATAATGGTAGAGATAATGGTAGAAAATAATTCGAGGGTAGAAAAGGATATTACTTCCAGGTAAGTCGGTGGTAACAAGAAGGCAGTGCACTGACAGGCGGTAAACATCGATGGCAAATAGTGAGCAAAGCCGGAACCGTGAGCGGCAACCTCCCTACCTTGTACATAGCCTATTACCCATCGCCAGGGTCTGAAGGCCGGCGGCGGTGAACGATTATTGTCCATGTCGGCTATAGCTACCGTCGACCAGTGATGTTGGGCCGGTATGACCAAACCCAGCGTGTGGTCCGGACACACTCAGCACTCGTCAAGGCCTCTCCGTGTCTCCAACGAGTCCCCACGATCAAGTAGTGATACCCAACATAGGCGTGTCCGTCTGGAGCCCCGGCCACTCTCAGCGCCAATGCCCTATACTACACCATTATTTCGCAAAAAACTACAAGGGTATGGCCGCCACATCGACACACGAGAGCGCAAAACACCAAGTAACGCGATCCGTTGCGGGATGAAATGGCATGACTTAGGACAATCGCGCACGCCCAATCTCTGCCTGCTTCGTATAGCATCAACCTATCTCGTCTGTCCTTCTTCTTCCGCCCGCAACGTCCTTGGCGACACTGTCGGTGTACAGCCAGAGAACTAGCCATGCCAAGGGAGGGGTGATAATACATCAGCACGTGTTAATATTACTCTATTATAAAAAAAGACCTACCCTAACACTCTAGTGCTAACATTATTTTGGACCATGCAGCTGATGGTACTCTGGTTGGCAGCAGGTAGACTACCTAGATCGTGGGAACGCGATGCCTTGGATGCGACTTGATTGTACCTTGCCTCGTCGTATCCCCAAAACCCACGATACCCACATTCAACACCACCATCTATCTATCTATCTACACGTACGCCTACGCTGCAGCAGGAGATGGTACTGCCTGATCTACATAGTATACCCCGAGTGACTGATTGAAACCCTCTCACGTCGCACACATTACACATGCGATTCCACAGCCTAGGTACCAAACACCCCTCCCCCCTGGCTCTCTTGTGTATGTAGTGTGGTGTCCATATGTAGGTCCTTACCAAGCCTTCGGTAAGGCGTTGCCTAACAAAGGAAATCAGACCAGCTGCTAGGGCCAGAACAAAGATTTCGTCTAACCTCATTCCCTTCCCCCCCCTTATCCCCATGATCCCCCCAGCAAAATGCAACGCCGCCCTCCATAATAAGCTGTCGGCAGGTAATTTCCAGTCCAGCTGAAACCAAAAATGGCGATATAGCGGCACGTACCGAAATGAAACCGGCCCCCAAGTAAAGATTTCAAAACTAGAACCAAAATAATGATATAACATTATTAATATACCCTCCCACTCTTCCCCGCTAGAAAGCACGTGTCGACAAAGTGTGTATGTATAGAACAAGGCAAGAGACAAGGCAGAACGGATGTTTTGGGGGCCAAATTGGATCTTTTCGCATCCTTCCTTGTCGACGAATCCTGTCGTCGACAATCGCGAATCGAGCCGAGGTCTGGGGATATGAGACACGACGCTACCTTACACCACAGCTAGACAAGCAGATAGATAGATGCACGCCTTTTTTGCGCCCTGTAGGAAGGCAGCGAACGGACAATAATGCCTAACTAAGCACCGACAGAAGCCTATAGGATTCCAGCTGAGAGCCAAGAACGTGCAGATCGGATGATTGCTTGACTGTTTGGTGTAACTCTCGCTTCAGTATGGGTCTCGGGTCTCATCTTTTCTGCGCAAGCCACTGACTTGGAGGAAAAAAAAACCGTTGAAACCGTTGATGCACCTAGATGCCGAACAGTGGTGCAGATCTTCGTCAATCGAAGAGAGGAGAATAAGCGCAAATAGGGGGAAAGGGGTTTTCTTTCCTAGCCCAGTATATACACGTTTTGAATTGAACTTTTGTTATTAGTCTGTAGCCTGCGATTCCTAAGCTATAATGTGCGTGATATACCTAGACTAACGAACTGAAACATGACAGCCAGTTTGCCCGCCAGCTTTACAACTAAAAGCACATGATTGATGGCAAGGGGGGGCGGGCTTAACATGGCCAAAAATGGGTTTTCAAAGTTACACAGAACCAGCCTCAGCTCAAACTCTCAGCTCCGTCACATGTAGCATTGAAACATGCCGAGGATGGCTGTTGAAAGAAGAAATATGATAATGATATCAAAATACTTAGAGTAAGACAAAAAAAAAAAGACGTAATGTAGAAATAGAAAATACAGGCGAATAAGAATTAAAAGAAAGATAGGAAAAAAAAGATTTCGCAAGAAATAAATAAAACGGCGCGATGTAACCAGGAAACACCTTCATCTCCCTGCTCTCGGTACAACAAGCCAATGCAAAGGCCTTGCCATTTCAGCCTCAACGTGTACACTTACACTACACTACACAACACAACACTACGCTACGCTGCAGTAGGTAGATTCGACGTCACATCGCATATACGACGCTTCCGGGCAAGCGTCCAAGACAAGTGCCCACGGCGTCGCTACACCAAAACGGTTTGATCGTTTTGGCTGGTCTCTCACGTTTCGTTTCGTATGCGTATTGTTTTGTTTTGTTTTGTCTCGGAGCTACATACGCAAAGGGGGAGAGGCCCATACCGGTACCTATTCCTAAACCGCCGACTACCCAACCACGTGGGATGGCGCACAAAGGAACAAGGCCAAAAAAAAAAAAAGAAGAAGAAAAAAGAGGCGTGCGTAACCTGGTCCCAAGCCCATTTCAGATCCCGCGGCTACACAACTTGACGTACATGGTTCGAGTTTCCAATCCCGTATGTGTAACGAATGAAAGAAAAGAGAAAGAGACCTAACCATTTGTGAGACACTCCAGACATAAGTACAAGACATATACGGCCTATCAGAGACACAATGACGTGGGCAACAGAATTTCTCGGACGCAACTCAAACCTGCTCTTTTATCGCCTGATGTGAAAAGCCATCCGTGTAACCTCACCCTTCCTCGATGGGACGGGAGGACAAACCAAACCGTTA